CGGTATATTGGACCTTAGCATTACCTCGGCCTTTGTTGCTTTATTAGTAGCGGAGCTGCGGCAAAACAATTCTGTGAATCCACGCCCTGCACCGCGCCTTACTCGCCGGATGTCTGCTGTCTCTGGCGCGTGAGCGTTCATTCCTGCCCCATGTCTAAAGAAATAACCAACGCGACTGTTTGTGGACCCTGGATTCCCGACAACGGTATCATCGCCGGCTACATGACACCGCAACATGGGCTTGTCTCACAAGAGAACTGGACGATTGCAGTGGAGCGTAAGTTTCTTTATGTTTATCCATTTCGTGTGATTTATAAGGTCCCCTCGAGCTACCCTAAGCTACTGAGCCAGCGCCTGCTAGCAACAGCAGAAGCTGCCGCCATCAGGTTACGAAAACCGACCCTATGCGCCCAGAAGAACCTCCTTCAGGCTCCGGGCTTACCGTGGTCAAAGGTTGACTAACCACATACAACTTTCTGCGCCCTTCCGCTCTTGCCCAGCCTGGAATTTAAAAACTCACTTTTATCGATTTTTTCACTCATTGTACCCCGTCCCACATAACTGAACTGGCCTGACGAGAAGTTATCGAAAGCAACGTTCGCTCGCCACTTTGTCTTCTGAATATAGCTATGGGGATTTTCACATTTCTAAAACAACATTTCTACTTCTTAAGGACAGTAGGCATTTTGTTGAGCTACTAAGGCAGAAATTAAATCAACCAACACAAAAAGGAATTGAATCAAGGTGTAGTCCCTTTGCAAAGAGTAGAGACAAACTTCTGGTGACCCGATTGACATAATTTGGTTCTTAATCATCAGCTGCATTCCTTTTTCAAGCGAATGGTTATTTGGAGTGATGTGAGCGTGCTCTACTTGGAGATTGGTTGCCCAAACGATAAAGGGTAGAGGGCTCAGTCAAAACTGCGCTCCCAGTGAAGTTAGTAGGAGTGTCGGTATGACACCATTCAGGTATCCTTCGAAAACTAGAAGTGTCCGGTTATTCTTGGCAGCACAATAAAGACTGATATTACCTCAGAATGCTCGAACCTTCTTCAAGCTAGCTTAATCACAGAAGGCGTACTGACCACTCGATGCGATGTAAGACTCCAAACATACGTCTTTACAGGCCAATATATGGCCGTAAAAATCAATAACCAAGCAGTAATACCAAAAAAGCACTGGCATTGATGGTGGTGGTGTTCGTCGTCGTCGTCGTCGTCGCCATATTTGACTCTAAGGGAAGTATGCGTATCTTCCTTTTATATAAAAGTCAAGAATTTCAACAGCAGTATAGGGAAAAATTTCTTAACTCGGCATCTGTTTATCCTATGCATTTAAACCAAAGTTGCAGTAGTGAACTTTCCTTCACGTTATCTGGTGTGAAGCCAAGGAGATGTACGACGGCCAGTTTAGTAGTAGCCAGTTTTCGGGGTCTTTTTGAATTCAGAGGCTGTTTCGTATCCCCCGACACCAATCTGTGTGCCCATTAATTCAGAGTTGCCATCAAGCCCACAACAAAAGAAACGATCTATGATACTATGACAATGCTACTTGCAGCTGCCTTGCGGTCTTGTTTACGTGTTGGAAGTTTTAAATCGATTCATGTAACTGGGGAACTAAGCGGCACTGTTGATATGACTAATGACGGCAGACCGTTCAACCATGTTAAATTTATCATTATCCAACATGATTTGGCTGACGATACAAGCGAAGATGCGAGTTCCAGGAACTAGCCGATAAGAAGAAGAAGAAGAAGAAGAAGAAGAAGAAGCGATCGCTGGGACAAGGGCTTTATCGGCTTGACTTTTCGGATTCTCACTTGAACCCATCATCAGAGACAGTGGCAGAAACGGATGATCCGTACACAGGAAGTTACGGCATTTATAGGATGCAGTCGCTAGGCTACCGCATACCTATAATAATTAACCGAGCTCCCCTTCATTAAGAATTGCTACCCGCAGGTGCGCTAATTGCTTTATGGCCGGCATGCAAGTTGTTAATTGCCGAAATGTCATCACCCGTGTTGGATGCTGGCGTGATGACTGTCCGGCCATCTGGCTCACCGGCTTGCGCGCTCCCTGAATGGTCATTTACTTTGACCAGCCTATGCCTCAGCACGGAAAACGGAGTGGGGATGTCGTTTCATTTGTTGATAGACTCAGGTCCCGTGAGCCATGACTCAAGGAACTCGCGGCTCACGCGGTTATCACCTCACGGGCGAATTTTGGCCTCATGGAACTTGAATGCGTGGTCGGGTTTCATCGAATGGGCCACGATCTGAAAGTTGACGTCATTTATTCACACCGTTGCCGCGTAATCGGCCATTCGCGTCCGGAGCAGTCTTCCAGTTTCTCCGACGTAGTTGCTTTGTCCGCAACTACACTAGATCCAGTAAACGACTCCAGATGGTTCTTGTCGTGGCAGTGGGTCTTTTGGTATCATCACCTGACGCCTTATGGTGTCCTCCGGGGTGTGGGCAACTCCAACCCCAAGTGGTGCGAGAAGGCGACTAACGGCCTCGGAGACGTTCTTGATGTACGGGATCGCTCGCCAGAATAAGGGATCGATACGATTTTGTTTCTCGTCTCGTTTGCGCATGCACCGGTTAAAGAAGTTACGCAGGTAACCATTTTCCCTGAAAACCCGTCGAAGATATTGGGATTCGGCAACCTTGTCTTCCGGTTCCCTGCAGTGCGTCTCAACACGCCAATATAGTGTTCTTACGCAACTGCGTTTGTGGCTGATCGGGTCGTTGCTGTTGAAGTTCAGTTCGTGTTGGTCGCTCTTCTGAACACTTTGGTCTTTAGGCCACCACAATCTTTGCAACGGACGAGGACGTCAAGGAATGATTTATTACGGAGCCGCGTCCGGGGATGTTGCCAGCGTCAAGTTCAGCCTACCACACTCCACTGGTGTAAACCAATTCGACCCAGGTTTTGCAATGACTGCTTTGGGATAGACCAATAAGCCATCACAAACGAAACTTCACAGTCAGTTGATTTTCTTGAAGTCCATATTAACCGTTAGTTCCGCATGAGTGTAATCGATTGTATTGGGGCTTTGAGTCATTCACTTGCTGAACGGGTGATGGATGTGCTGATTTCCTAAGATCTCCAAGTCTGGGATTCTGGGCCTGAAACTATGACGACAATGAAACAACAATCAAACCGTTTAACCATTTTAGTTTGCATTTTGCTGTCAGCTCAAAGTCAGGTACGACTACCTGAGTCGTGGACGCTAGTAGTCATTGAAAACCACTGAGCTGTTGGACTCTTGTTTACGCCTCATCAGTCGGCTTGTAGCTAAGTTATACAAGGCTAGCGGCGACAAACTCGTTAGTCCACCCTCCCCTGATTCGTTTCTAACATCGTGTGTCAACCATAGGAGCAGACATCTGTCCGTTCTACCCCGCTGCTGGTGAATCCACTATTTTTTTTCATTCAACAGGGCTTGTGGTGGACGGAAACACAACACTCATTGGTGTCTTCTCGATCGGTTCACTGAAGATTATCACATCGACCAACATTAATGTGATCAAGAGAGCAGGTAAATACTGCGTTTTTTTTTCTTATTTTGACAAACCGGTTAAGGGTCAATAAAACTGGAACCTTCTGCTTTTCCCTTTCCCCTCTATAGTCTGCGGCGACGGGTACTGTGATGACTCACAAAACGAGACCTGCGTCACCTGCCAGGCCGACTGCAAGGCCTGCAGCCTGGAAGCCCGTATCGCCGGTGCAATCATTGCAGTCGTCATCTTGATCGTCCTTGCCATCGGTGCAACCGGCCTGGTAAGGAACCAATGCTTGCATAATAATTCTGCCAGCTTAAGTCTATAAGGACAGCTGTTCTGTAGTGCTACAGTTAGTGACCTAACTCATGAGGCGTGTCAAAATTTACGAATGATTGCCAATCACTCGCAAACCGACACCATTGCAGCCGTCCGAGTTCTATGTTAATTAAGTACAAGTTTAAAGGAATTAAAGCATAAAAGAACTATTAAAGGCAGTGTTGCGTTATTTAGAAATGCCGATTTGTTTTAAAAAGCGCAATATCCCGAAAAGGTCAGAAATGGCTCTAATTTAGTAAACTTCGTTCTTAGATGTATAGAATGTATTCTCAAACCAAAAACGTAGTGAATATGAAGGCCAAAATATAATAACGCCTACTAGTAGTGTTTCAGTATAGTTATCTTTGAATATCGTTTAATAATTAGTGTGATTTCATATATGACGGTGTGTCAACTGCCTACATTCTGAGTATACATTCCAACACAGTTTTCCAGGGATTCGTGTTATCCTTGACTCGTTTGTGTTAAGTGAGATGGAATTCAACATGAGAATCAGGATTCTGCATGATTTCACCGATGGGGACGTCGTAGGAACAAAAGTTTCCATAAAGTAACGTGCCATGAGGTCGGTCGGTGCTTAATAAAATTAAATAGAACTGACAGGCGTGATCGTAAACATACCATTATGTGAAAGGAGGAAGTCCGTCGGAAATAGAGTTTTGCTCGTAAATTTTTGAGCTGGTTGCACCAACTTTTACTACTTCATACTACTCCAATTATTCAGCATACCATTATGTGTTTATAGAGAGAACTTTTCTTCCATTAAATTAATTTACACTTCTCGTTTGTTTGGGATTACGCTGAGTTTCCGATCGCCTTCGAGATATTACTGAATACCTCATGATTTTTAGTTTTTTTACCCGATCGTCCATAAAGGCAGATTCTGAATTCCCTGTCTGTTGAGAACTTTAATATAAGCTTATTCTTGAAGGCATTTACCGAATTAGTGTAGTTCTACTATGCCTACGGATAATTCTGATGGGGGAGCTGAAATGAGATAGCCTCATTGAGATTCACGACTGTAGACATGAATATCAGCGTCCCGTAGCCTGATAGCTTGAACGAGGAGTAGGGATGTCACATAGGTCTCGACAGACTCCACCCCTTCTTATTAGCTTCCAGGCCAGTAGGGCAACAGTGAATGCTTTAGGTCTCTACATCGTCCCACGTTTACCTTAACTTGGACAAAAGACACTGAAAAGAGCCTTTTGTGAATTGTTGAATGTTAACGACGATAGGTAATCATAGTCCCGGTTATTTGAAAGTCGTGTTCAAAGTCGACACGAACCAGCTTCCGTAAGCAAAGCAAGATGAGTCAATAACTTAGAAACTAGAAGGAGGGGATCAGAATGCAGATCTGGCGGCTAGACCCTGCACCGACGCAGCTAACCAATTCCAGAGCGAAGGCGAATCGTAAGGAAGGGCTCCTGTTTTTCGATTTTTTTGGATTTGCGATACTTCGAAACACTTCAAAGCGTTTTGTTTGCTGCATTGTCTAGGAGCCAGTTAGTTGCGCTCAAGGAAATTCACCCAGTTTGATAGGAACTCCCCGGTAAACATGAAATGACAGGTTGATGTCATTAATTGGTGGAAAAGTACTATTTTTGCAGTTTCGCTAATTTGCTGATTGCTTTACCAGCGAATAGATAATTGGAATGATTTGTGAATCCCCCTCCAGAGAGAGAGAGAGAGAGAGAGAGAGGAGAACTGAATTTTGGCCTCGAACACCTACACTTTCAGGAGAGTCGGAAGTATCTCTTATAAAATTACATACTTTCTTTTACTACTCTTATGGCCAGTAGCTAATGAAATAAACCCCATCTTTGGAAAAATACCAAAATCTACAGACACGTTTTAATTGTTTTGTTAGTGCGTGTTCTGGTCTTAGCATTAGAACCACAAACATCAAAAAAACTTTCGTTTAATAACTGAGTTCATCCCTGTTCAATGGCTATCCCACAAAATTATGGATTCAGAATGGTTGGCTGGCGACAACCAATGCGCCAATACAAATCAGGTACTCAACTACAGTCTGACCGTTGAGCGAGCCGAGAAGTAGGACTGAAAGAATGAACCTTTGACAAAGTCGATTTCGCTACAGCCGCTTTGCCACTTTTCAACCGGCCATGTTTGGGGAAGATTTCTTGGGACACTGATATCACACTTACGTAATTTTTAATTTCAGTTCTTCTACCGACGCAGCCGTCTAGCTCTGTGGGACAATTCATGGATTATCACAAAGGACCGTGTTTCAGTCAGTAAGTTGTTTACCATTCGCAGGACTGTCTAGCATTCATTCCAGAAAAACTATATTCGGCCAAATATCATTATGCAGCCGCACCAGAGGCAAACACACCTAGCCGCCTGTAATACGGGACCGGTGGTAGTAGGGTTTTTTACTGGTGGGGCCGGAGAACGCACAGGCGACGAGCTATTGGGAATGCGCGATTGTACTTTGGGTAGTTTAGAAATAGTTGCCCTAACCCTTAACCCCAACCCCTAATCCTAACTCCTAACCCTAAGCCCCTAGCAGTATTGTGTCCATCAGCTGCGGCTGAATAGCCCATCTTACCCATATATTTTACTGACTGTTAATAGGGGAGGGCTTCTTTTCTGTACATGCGATAGCAAATGCCTCAAAAACCTATTCAAATATATGCAACCTTTGAACACCTTCCACTGAAGATATGCAAGGTTATGTAAATAACAGGAAGAACGTTTACTGTCCGCGACTCCCGGACTCTTTTAAGTGCCCCTTCTCGGATCCAGAAGTTAGTCAGCGAGAGGAGACACTTTCAATGTATTAACTGGTCGACCAGGTTCCGGCTCTATTGTATTCTGCAATGGAAATCGTCGATGGTGACAAACCTTGCGGCTGACATTGTAGCGTTTGGAAACCTCGTTACAGTAATATAAGGCCAAACGCAGACAGTTGTTCCACGATCAGAAAGTGTGGATCATGTGCCTACTTGACAGGTTTATATACCATATTTCAGAAGGCACAAGGAACGCCTATGGCCTGCCGACGATGGGTGATGATCGTGAAACAGTTGTCGGCGTCTGCCATGTTAATACCTTTACGAGCTCTCCATTAACTATTTGTGCTCGTTACTGTCATCAGCCCAGCTGGATGGAGGTCAGAATGCAAGCAACCCAGCATCAGAGCCAGTCGCAGATAGGGGTAATGGTGGCACAAGGCGTGCGGCATTTATATCACGTGGCTGCCGCCGGACCATATGCGCACTGTAATTAACAACTCTCGCAATTACCGCTGGGGTCGTTATTGATGCGGCGGCGGCTTGTCAGTCCGAGTCCGGGTCCGAGAACCATGACTCGAGCAGCTCGCGGCTAACGCGGTTGTCACTCCCTGCGAGGATTTCGGCCTCTTGAACTTTGGAAATATGGCCGGGTACCGCCGAGTGTGCCGCCACCTGTAGCTTGCAGTCCATCGACAAGCGCAATGACCTCCCGGTACCATATTCCGTGCTGAGATTTTCCCTGGGCAGAGGAATCAGTCACGTGAGGAGGGCGCGGGCGAGCAATTATCACTGTGGCAATGAGCCAATTTGCCGAGCAATCGTCACATCAGCATCCAGCACGGATGACGAAATCACGGCCATTAACGACTCGGACTCGGACTGGCAAGCCACCACCGCATCAATCACGACCCCAGCGGTGATTGCGAGAGCTGTTAATTACAGTGCGCATACGGTCCCACGGCAGCCACTTGCTATAAATACTGCACTCCTTGTGCGACTGTTTCTGATGATGGATTCGAGTGAGAATCCGAAACGTCAGGCCAGAAAATTTCTTGTTCGAGTGATCGCATCTTCGTCTTCTGAACTGCTACCTGGAACTCACCTGTTCGCTTCTATCAGCAGTCACGTGCCCACTTGACAAGTGAGGGGTTTGGTTGACGGTATGTGGGTTCCGACGCATCTTTGAATCTATTCCCAGCTGAATTTCTAGCTTTGGTTCCTCTTTCGCAATATCCGGCACTTAACTGTTCAGGTTTGCACTGAGACAGCACGATATACCCTACTGGACAGCAAAGGCACTAACTAAATCCTACACACGTGCTTCGTCCATATTCGACCGCTGCTCAGCGCAGTTGCGAGGGGTTCGGCTCCTCAGTGGGTCCCCGGCTTTCCCTGTGTACTTTCTGGTAGATATTCCAGTTCGGAAATTGCAGTTTTTTACTTCCCTCAAAAATTAATGGCTAACGCGGAGTAACTCAGTCTATTTGAGACTTATTGTATCACACTGAATTTTGATATGAATATTTGGGCCAACGCGGAATAATCTCGTAATATTCATTAGCTGTCGACAGGCGGTTATTCCGCAGTGGCTGATGGACTTTGGTCCAAATATTCATATCGAAATTCAATGTGAGCCCATATATCTCAAATAAACTGATTCACTCAAAGTAAGCGATTAATTTCTGACGAAATTAAAAATTAAAGTTAAAAGGGACCTATTTACCTTTGTGTCGGAAGCTTCAGGGTGACAGCCCAAATTACTTTATGCAATTTTATCTTTCCCCAGTTGAACAGGACAAGCCGAAGGCCAGTCAGGCCTTACCCACCGATAGTCAGGAGGATATACTTGACCTTGAAGTGGAGACGTCATTTGCCTACGGCAAAATGTAAGTTGACATGGGGTAGGTTCTAAATGTACACTCATTTTGCGAGCAGGACAGGTTGACGAGTCAAAAAGTAGTCTCAATATCTGACAGTAAAATCTTGAAAAAATGGGCCTTTTCGACTGTCACGTGAAATCGACGTCCACGGATATACCTTTACTACCGGCATTCACTATTATATTGAAGCTTCGATCTTGGAAGCGGCGTCCAAAAGAGATTATTGAATGATACGCTCTCGTGAGTTTGCTTATTTTTGTCGCAAACGATGGGGACGGAGCCCATAAGTCAAAGTCATTGGGTTGAACTCGACTCTTAATGCCCAGAAGGGCAGGCTCCGAATCCCCGCTCGCCTCTTCATGGGATTGGGGAGTACGTGACTGACGATTCCAAATAATCCAGAAACGTTCATCTCTTTTGTCTTTTCCAGTAGGTTTTTGGAGTTTTACCTTCAAGCACCCAATGGCACAGCAGCACGATCATGAGCAATTCCTTATAAACTTCCCAGTAATGCCTTGATGGTGTTTACCCATTTTTAGAGGTGAAGTATTGGTCTCTATCAAGTATATTGAGAGGGAGAATTTCATGCTGACAAAGAAGATTCGACAGGAAATTAAGTCCATTCGGTGAGTTTACATTTATTCTCTGAGAGAGGATTTTTTGTCTTGCAGTACGCCGTCCTTCTCACTAATTATACTTCTTATTTTCTAAAAAAGCCAACTCAACAGCAGGAACGTAAACCAATTAGTCGGGATCTGCCTTGATCCCCCCGAGCTGGCAATCTACATGGAGTACTGCCCCAAACGGAGCTTGAGTGACGTCCTGAGAAACGAAGTGATGCCCCTAAGCTGGGCGTTCAAGTAGGTTCCCGATTCAACATACTTCATAAAAAACAATTTTTTAAAAAATTCGTGGTTTTCAATATCAAGCAAAATCTCAGTTCCTGAAGTTTTTGCGACCGGTTCACTACCACACCACTGTAAGTAAAGTTGGGAAACTTATACGGATGTCCGCTGCACAAATTTGTTGGGCTTTAAATCTGCGGCCGCACCCCAGATCACACTTTCTGGCCGCATTTGACCTGGCCCCGCGTAAGTGGTCCTTGAAGATCCTGCAAGTGACGTCCATTTGAGAACGCCTCTCCATGCATGACTCAGCCGATTTCCACTCCTCAGGATCCGTAATGGCAGTAACGCGTAAGCAGGCTCTGACGATTCTCAAGCAAGAATTGGTCTATCCGTCATACTTGCCGTCTCGCATCTGCGTTGCCAGTGGGGGTACACTTCCCTCGTTGCGGGCGGTAATTTGTGGAGCACTCACCTCATGAGAGTGTTATTCATTCTTTAAGCATTTAATGCGTCCTACGATGCGCAGTGTAGGTGTTTAAGATTGTTGTGGACGTTTGAGTGAGTCATTTGGAGTACTTTAGAATTATTCTTTTACTGACAGAATCTTGTAAGCTATTGTCTACAACCCGCATACGTGATAAGTTGGTTTCCGGAACATTCATTTTTGACCGTACGATCGTCCAGGTGATCTGACTGAATACTTCAAACCTCCCTCCCATAAATTTGCCACAAAACTTCGCCAACTCTAGTTAGTTTCTATGACCACTCGCGGACTGATAAAACAAAACTTTGAGACGGTTAAATTGTTAACGTCGCCATGTATGCCATTTCCAAACGGAATATTTTATATACAAGCATTTCACTAAGAGTGCAACAGGCCAGACGCAGAGAGCTGCTTCACGGTCGTCACCCATCGTCCGTGTTTCATAGGCCATATGAAGTGAGGTATACAAACATGTCAAGTGAGTGTTTTGTCCTTACTGGCGGACGGACAGAATATGATGGAGTGAGATCTTTACCACAATAATGAGGGTCAAACGCTTACTTGACATGTTTATGTACCTCACTTCATATGGCCTATGCAGTACAGTGCGTGACCGATCTCATGAAATGTTGACCGAAATTCTGAAATGCCTTTGCGATTAGGAAGGATTACTTAGATGGGGTTGTAAAATTGATTAGCATGCAGCACAATCCTATAGCAGTTCGGTCTCGCCAGGATGTCAGCTTTTGAATGCACTTCTTTTTGACCTTCTGCAGAAACAACACTCGGTAAAAAATGACTGCTTAATTGGCATGCATTTTTCCTATTGATTTTCGATGTTCTTATAAATTGAAATATATTTCATAGAAAACATGCACAAAAATATGTTTTCTTTTATTCCTTTGGTAGGAAATAACATTGTCTTCATATTTTATGCCCGAAGAAAATGAGTATTTAGGTTTTAAGAACGTTTCTAATTATGAGGGTTTTAAGACCGTGCGATGCCAATGCATACAGGACAGAACATGTCCGTTTATCAATGCTCCTCATGAAATATACAACACAGTCCGGATTCATTGCAAAATTTTATGAACGCTATATAGTAGCTTCCTAATGACAAAGAGGAATATGTAGTTTTCCTTACGCGGAAAGCATGAACCTTTAAGCCTGAAATCGCTAAAAGCTAATGCAATGGCAGATCAGGCTCAAAATTATTCGGGAATCAGGAAACTTTTTTAAAACCTAAATACGCATTTCCTTCGGGCATAAAATATGAAGCCAATGTGATTCCCTACTAAACGAACAGAAGAAAGCATATTTTTGTTTGTGTTTTCTATAAAATATATTCGAATTTATAAGAATATCGAAAATCAATAGGAAAAATGCATGTCAATTAAGCAGTCATTTTTACCGAGTGTGGTTTCTGCAGAAGGTCAAAAAGAAGTGCATTCAAAAGCTGACATCCTGGCGAGACCGAACTGCTATAGGATTGTGCTGCATGCTAATCAATTTTACAACCCCATCTAAGTAATCCTTCCTAATCGCAAAGGCATTTCAGAATTTCGGTCAACATTTCATGAGATCGGTCATGCACTGTACTGACGATCGGTGACGACCGTGAAATAGCCGTCTGCGTTTTGCCTGTTGCACTCCTAGTGAGATGCTTATGTATTATATGTGGTATGCATCCTACGGCACGACATTCGTTATCGTCAGCAGCAAGCTGGCTGGCGGGCAGAATGGGATCGAGTGCAATCCTAACCACAACAGCGAGGGTCAAACGCCTACTTGACAGAATACTTTGTGCTGGATAGATGTATGTTGCGGTTAGTCTACACTACTACGCCAGAGTGAAACTTTTCCATGCCTTTCCTCTAAGAGTAAGCAAAAAGCGTCGAGATATGCACAAACCCGTGCTCATAAAATCCGGTTCAAAAGCAAGACGTTCAATTGATTGGTGGCCTTCACGTGTGGTTTCGTTAAGGCTGGGCAAAAGTAAACTAAAAGGTTTGCTGCGCTTTGATCAGCCACCAGCGTCGAGCTTATCAATGCGCTGTTTTAACTGCTATTCATAGCGATGACCCTCAGTCATTGGCATAGGCCGTATTTCGTGGAGGTCGAGATAGGGGGGGGGAGGTAAAACACTTTAATCGATAACACTGATTAGAAGCGACGACCAGATTCGTCTTTTAATAAGACCGTTTTACTGAGGGTCAGAAGTGTTTCTTAGCAATTATAACTGCCCCTTGCCGCTTCATTCGCATTCATAAATCGGACGTTTTCAACCATTAGTCCACCATCAGTCTTGAGGGAGCTTTTAATGATTTGGCCCCACTCAAACTTTCCCCATTAACTCACTCTCTTCTTTCCAGACTGTCACTGATTCAGGATGTTGTCTATGGCATGGAGTACCTGCACTCCCGTGGCTTTATTCACGGTCGCCTCAATTCTAACAACTGTGTTGTTGATGACCGCCTAACGTGTAAAATAACGGGCAAGTCCATAAGATGTTTCTTTAAAATTGGCACTTTGCACAGCTATTATGTCCGTTTGTTTGGCTTCACCCACTCGAGAACAACTATCCTCTGAGAATATTTTTTCCTGTTACCACCACTACTAATACTGTTGCAAGTACTACTATTCTGGGTTTACACCCAACAGATGCTCACGTACTTCGGCAAATCCAGTATTCTGTGCCTGCGTCCCCGGCCGACTACTTGAGACAAAGACCTCGGGTTTTAAGGGTTTGGCACCGCCTACCAATCGTAAGCTCTACCAGAAAGCCCACGGGGTCCAACGGTTAATTTAAGGTTTTCCTGATTCGAGACCTTCAAGTTGTTGCACTGACAAAATCAATTTTTAAGCATTTTCCCTGCCTGAATGCTCAGTAACGGGCGAAAAAAGGCAATGACTAACTTTGGACAAAAAATCGCGCGTTCTAAAGCATCGAAACAATTACAGCAGCAATTTTACGGATACGTTTTCGTTGCAAGCTGTTGGCTCTTGTACCTTGACACTTTTGGCAGTGTTTTTTTCAGGCAAACGAAGACTGCATCAAGTTCAGTCAGTTGCTTTACCCTAACCTTTGATTTTCAGTGAAGTTCCACACTTCGGGGTTGGGTATGATTGGCTGACGACGGCTAATAAGCCAGGAATGACCGTTCCAGTCGCCCTTGTCTTTGTCTTTAATGCCATTCCAACTTGGTGAGTATTCGATAGGCCATACGCTGTATGCGCTGGACCAACATGGCGGCCAGATCAGGACACGACAGACTGTCCAAGGACATGGGAGGCAATTTTCATAAAAACGCACTTCTAGTGGACTGTGAAGCAAAAACCGTCTACTCTAGTTGCAAAATGTTAGACGTAAATCGTAGGTGCTACTGGGATTTCCTTTGCATCCTCCTCTTCAAAGCCTACTCCATCGACCCCAAAGACAATAACTTCTTTGCAGATGTAATCAGCGCTTTAATGCTAGGGCAAAGGTGTACACATAGACTTACTCTTCGCCCATTACCTATTGTTAAACAATCTTTAGGCTTTCTTTTCAAGCAGATAGGAATCTCGGTCTTTGAAAGATTGACTAACACAGTATGTTGGTCGATAGCATAAGGAAAGTAGCTACAAGCCTCATTGATATCTTTGATTTCTCGGTCTCTTCTTTCTCCGTACTACTTAGTTACGCGGTCAGAAGCTTCTTCTTACCTTGTTAAATATTTCTGTCGAGTCTGCGCGCCCTTGCTCTCAGCAATTGTTACAGCTGGAATTTCCTAGATCAGTATGATTCCCGACGCCAAATGCAAGTTTCGCAACCCTGGACATTTTCATGCGACACTGTACTATCTGGAACCTACAGTATGTGGGTCAAGTCATGAAATCTCAATAGAAATTCCGAAATGCGTTTTCTTTTCGAAAAGATTAATTAAGTAAGGTTGTTAAACTAATCATTATGCAGCATGATTCTATAATAATTCAGTTATCCCTGGACGCCGGCTTTCGAAAAAACGTCTTTCCGACTGCATATAATAGTCATGCTCCGCAAAAAATAACTGCTTAATTAGCATGCATTTTTCCTTCATTTTCGATGGCCCTAAAGATTCAATTATGTTTTATGAAAACGTGCACAAAAATATTCATTCTTTCGCTCATTTGATTGTGAATTACTTCTTATTCAACTTTAATACTCGAAGGAAGGGTGTAATTCGGTTTTGAAAAAGTTTCTAATCGTGAGATTTTAAAATACCGTGAAATGGCCATTCATAAAACGCTATGTCTCGGTATTAACCAATGTGGCTTAAAAAGGTAATAATGTGGTTCAAATCCACTGCTTAATTTTATTAACTTCATATGGTCTCCTCTTAATACCGTAGAGAAATGTATGGTTTTTCGTACGCGGAAATTAGACGGCTTGTAGTTTGGGAACCCTGAATGCAGGTGTGACGAAAGGTCGGGTTCAAAATAATTCAGGAATTGGAAAAGTTTTAAAAAACCAAATTATACCCTTCCTTCGAGTGTAAAACTCAAAGGTGTGATTTTCTACTGAATGAGCAAAAGAAAGAATATTTTGCGCCTATTTTCTGTGAAATATAATTAAATCTTCAAGGGCATCAAAAATTAATGAAAAATGCATGCTACTTAAGTAGAGATTTTTACAGAGTATGTCTTTTGGATGTCGCAGAAGAAAAGTTTGTTCGAAAGCCGGTGTCCTGGGGTAATTGAATTATTACAGAATTATGCTGCAAGATGATTGGTTTTGAAACTCTACATAATTTATCTTTTCGAAACGAAAACGCATTTCGGAATTTCTGTTGACATTTCATGAGTTAGTCCACTTTCTTTAAGTAGAAGGCTTCTCGTATGAGGCCAGTGAACTTTCAACATTGCTTTGCCTGCAATTGGATGGTTTGTGTACATTGGCACATTAAACCACAGTGCGGAATGTTCTCTGCCACCCTGCGCGACGTTTCTTTCCTCGGGCTATGAGAACTTGGTGAGTGGTAGGGGGCGCTCACCGATCATTCTTACGGAACTCACTCCTTCCGCTGTGCCTTATGGGCTCTCTCTCGGGCCCAACCAGCAGCCGCACAGCGGCGCATGATATAGGCAGAATGGCATTACCCGGCTCGTGGCCCAGCAGTTAGAGGCGTGGACTTCTAACTAACAGGTCGTGAGTTCGAGCCTCGGATGTTCAACACATCTGAGTTGGGTATGATTGACTGACAACGACTAATAAGCCAGGAATGACCATTCCAGTCGCCCTTGTCTTTGTCTGTAATGCCATTCCAACTTGGTGAGTATTCGATAGGCCACACGGTGGATGCGCTGGACCAATATGGCGGCCAGATCAGGACACGACAGACGTTATTGTGCATGCGGACCCCATAACAAATGCCATGCGTGGGGATGTGATGCACGCCTAGGCGCAGGTTCGCGCCGCGTCAGCCGCCTGCGCTCGATCCCACCTCCTCATTTCTCGACTCTATTAGGACTGTTGGTTCACGTGGGTGAGGCAGTGTGGTAGATGCTGCTGCTGCCGCTGCTGCTGCTGCTGCTGCTGCAAGTCATTGTCCCTGTGTCCGCCCTGTCGCGGGGCATACGGCGTACATCGTCTGTAACGACGATCAAACTGTTGGTGCCATCAAGTCTGCACTGTGCACACATTTTATGAGAACTATTGGCGTCCGACGACGAGGACTGTTTTGTTTTACTAGATTATGGGCTGGACTCCATCCGCTACCTGCGAAAGGAGGAAAAGCTGGAGACTTTCCTTGACAACTATCGAAACTGGGCCTACATTGCGCCGGAATACAGAGGTATGTTGTTATTTCTTTGGATATAAGCAGAATGTAAACAGACAAACTAAGGGCGATTTAAGGACAATTGCGGGCTAGAAATGCTTTGGGGCGAATAGCCGGTTAACTGTTGACTCTCAAGCCTGTAGCTTAAATTGAGAGTTGACGAGTACAGTGAGGCTATTCTGCCATTGTCGGTTAGCATGTCTCTCCTTTATTTCGAAACAAATCAAGTGATTACCCAGGCTGTCCTCAACCAATAGACCGGTTTCAGGGGATCCTGACCTTTCACCCAGCATTTCTCTAAATAAATAAATCTCTGAAAATTGTTGTGCACGGTAGATGCAGACGGTGCTTCATTTGTAAGAGGCTGAGCACCAACGTGCGTGTATTTTACACCCCGCTTAACTCAGTACGCCTTGGTGTCAGCGTATCGGGCGTTCAGATCTCGACTTCCAATTCGGGTGACCACAGACTTATTTTCTGAAACCAGTGAAAGCGCCCATAGAGGCAGGGCTTGTCTATTACGCTGCTTATCCGCGTACTGAGATCAGATGTCTAATACCAACTTCGAAATTGTAAAATTCAGTTTTGGCATTATTGGAAAACTATGTAGGTTTTCCGTAAAGCTAGGGCGGATTGAGTCATGGCGGTCGAGACTAGGCACCATGCAAAGCCAGTCAAAGGATTTTATCAGAACTAGGTTACACTCTGTCGCTGGTTAACTTATCCTTTCCCTGATCTGAATGGTTATTCTTGTTAAGTCGTCAGCCTGGAACTCTATGTGACACCTACTAGCTCAGAGATATCTCTTACCCTGCTGACTGTGTCTCTGGTTCGGGGTGGAAAAGCAAGATCGTATCAGTAGCTAGAGAACAAGCGGGAAATTCCTGGTGGGATTTGCCTCCACGGGACTTTCGCATGACTTGGCATGGACCCATGGCCCAACTGGTAGAAAGTTTAGATGCTAGCCGTGGAGACGTTATCGGATCGCGCAGCTTCGTTCCTGGAATTGAGGCATGACTGGTTGCTGACGACAGATGGACTCTTCGGTCTGCCTTCTAATTATCGTTAAACCTCTCCTGCTTGAAATGGATCGTTTCCTTTTGCTAACTGATATTCGCGTCACTCTCATGCTTTCTGATTTTCTATTGCTTTTTACTAGGGATTTATTTGCTCATGACAGCCTGACTACTTCTGTGGTAGCAGAATAAAATATATTTGAGAGTCTAACACGAAGTTTGAGATTTTCTTTCATTAGTCCAGTCGGACGCATGATCGCTGTAACTGCATTTTGGGGTACAGGACGTATATGAAAATCTTTACACTTGAATAACATTCAAACGAATAAAATCTGCCTACTTACTGAAAGTCAGTAGAAAGATCTCACCACCGTACGTTCTGTAAAGCGGGGTCAGCCTTCTTCCACTGTGGCAATATTGAGCACTTGGTGAAACAAATGAGGCTGAATGACATGGAGCTGAGCATTTGTCTTCGATTTGAAGGAGCTTGCTGTACAAGCGAAAACCACTTGTCCATGACGGTCTGACCTTTGACTAAGTACTGGAGGCGTGGCTTAGAGATCAGAGTTCATAGGGAACCTGAAAGATTAGATACCGTCGTCGACAAAACTGAAGATGAACGGTCTGCGATTGGGAAGACGTTCGTGATCCCTTACCCAGCATATTGGATGTTTTTTTCAAATAGGAAAGTGTTGTAAGGTAAGGTCGCTTAACTGGTGAGCGGGGACAAAACGCCCATAAGGTGGCACGTTGTGCTTTTATTGCGCCCTATTCCAGCAACCCGTGTAAAACGCACCCAAAGGTAACACTTCGTAATTAAGGTTTATCCTCTTGCATATCTTCAGCGTCAATAAAAGTGGAATCTCAATTTCATCAAGTTCTGAAAGCAACTTACTGTCATGCAATAATGTAACATGAATTTGCAGCTTGAAAGGAGTGAACTTAACGGTTTTCAAATATTGAAATTACGAAGGAGAGTGGAAGAATTACACTCTATTTTAGATGCATAAGTTCAACATTTTCCTCAAATGCTTCCATTTACTGGGGACAAAATAGATGCGCAAAACGGTTAACACTAGAAGATTACAAGTGATAATTGTCAAAAAAGGCAACTGGCGACATCATGAAGATTCGTCGGTGAATGAGTTTCAAAGTTCGCGTCAGACTTTACTTCCTTCAAAACGATGCTAAGGTAGGGGGAAAAGGACCATATTATTGTAGTTCAGACAGACAAAGAGGGGATAATATCCGTATACAATGAGTAAAGTAGGCAAACGGATGTACATATAAGAAAATTCCCGTGTAAATGGCAAGATGAAAAAAGTGGCGGCTCAATTTCAAAAGCCGGTCAGGAGTCTGAGACTTTGCAAGACCTCTGCGCCGTTATTCGAGCAGTCTGCTACTTTCCGGCGGGCATTGTGATCCCGTAAGCGCCGAAGACCTTCTGAGAGGAACTTAACTTTATGAGGATTTTGGCCAAAAGAACTTTATATCACGTGGTTTGAAGACCTTGCTAACAGATTAATACATAACTTGGGCTTCAGTCTGCACAGTTTTTTGAAGGAGTTTCTGAGGAGTTGAAGTAATTTTATCCAATTTGCGTTCGAAATTATTGTTCCGCATACATTATAGATGCGTGCGTATTATCCAGGTCGCTTTAACTTTTCAAACCGTGAATTACTTAAAGGTGACTAGAAGGACTGTATCGCCCAGGTAGGCTTTTTGGTAAAAGCATAATTTCACATGTTGTCGATGTTTGACTAGTTCCGACGCTTACCGTAGGCCTCCCATCGCTATACGAAACTCTGCCGGTCTAGCTTCAAATAAGCGGCCATATCGTGTTAGCTTTGAGATCAAGCATAAATGCCGAATTTGCTTTTATATCCCTGTTTTTCCTAGAAACGCCACCTGCAGCACCTCTGCCCGTCATGGACTCCTTCAGTTATGGCACCATTCTCGCCGAAGTTGCCCAAAGACGCGAAGTAAGTCAGCCACTTGAGAACTCCGACGCCTGGGGAGTTGTTCCTCTCCAATACGCTGTTGTTCGTATTTTATCAATCAACTGGTAAGGCACGTAAACCTTAGACTAGCACGCGATGTATTGTGTTTCATCCAGGAGAAAACTGGTGAACCCTCTGAGGTGATGCGTCTGGATATTGTCTGCGTTGGCCTAGGAAATGCAGTTTTTAAAGATATTTGGCTTACCTGAGGGAATTAGACGGCCGATATTATGCTGGAATAAGTGGAAAGCTTCATTTTTGTTCTAAAAGTTTATTGCAGAAAGGGGGGAGGTTTTGGGGTCCTCCTTTCTGATCGAAAGCAAATACTCCCCGCAACATGGACGTCTGAGTCCCCGAACCGAGTGCTGTGTTATCACATGAAATGATGAGTCTTTCGGGAGTAATTGTCCTTTCAGGTGATCTAATATATACAGGAATATTTCACTCGACTTACGTCTGTAAAATATAAAGTCCATGCCCTTCACCAATATCAAAAATGTTCATTTTTTCTCAACTCTCGACGTATTTGAGCCGATCTAAAAAGTTTTCAATGCTCTTCAGTGAGCTAATGTTGGTATATTCTCTGACGGGGAGCTTCGTACTGCAAGCACGAATACTTCAGCAAGTATAACCTTTTAGGATCCCGATGACATCGACCTCCCGGATCTGGATCCAGTAGAACGTGAGGAGATCGCAAAGGCCTGGTGGGATTATCCTCTACCCTCGCACGATGCATTTCAAGGCGGCGACGAGTGTACACCGGACGAAAAGGATTATATAAATGTGAGTTTTTTGTGCAAAAGAAGCAACTAATCTTATTCTCTATTCAAGGACGGCTTGCAGTTTTATCTTGTCTGTTTTAGACATCCATTCATACACTTGTACTGAATATAACCTTTGAATGTATACACAAACAGAATACACGAAGGCTACTGACGACGAGTCTGGTTTTTAGTATTTATCTGTTTTTCTAGTAAATTTCGTCTTACAATAATGCATCTGTCGGTTCCCAGGTGAAGAGTACTCGAACCGTTTCCACTTATTTTGACCAAATGATTTATTACCGTCCAGGGGCGTCTATTCCATGTTCTAACCTTAATCCTACCCTTCACCCTTGCCCTCCTAGTCTAACTCCAACCGTCATAAACTTAACCGTAACATTAGCCTTAACCCTAACTATAGAGGTAACTCTATCACTAACCCCAACGCCTGGAGTTTAGGGTAAAGCCACCAGTAATGCGAATTATTACTATTTTTGTGCCCAACTTAGAGTTTGTCCCTACTTTATGATTAGTAATTAGGACCAAATTAAGAATGTAAATTGGTCAATGGAAAGTCTTCTGAAGCATAAAATGCTACTCTGTCTTCCTTTGCAGTTGATAAAGACCTGCTGGGGTCCAGCGGAACTTCGACCCACCTTCGAAATCATCAGGGCGAAGATGGATTTAATCAATCCACGAAGGAAGAACCCAATCGACATCATTTTAAGCCTGGTGGGTGCTTCCGCAGATGAAGTCGGAGCTTTGCAATAACACGTCCTGCTGTTTCGATTGTCTGCACTTTGTTACCTTGAAAAGTATTTCTTTTGATGAGAGGAAAAAATGCTTGCATTGCAGATGGAGAAGTATTCAGCCCATTTGGAGAGCATCGTTAACGAACGGACGCAGGACCTCATCGTCGAGAAACAAAGGACTGATGAGCTTCTGCACAGTAAGTTTCACAACCTACACTCGAAATTTTGTAGGTTGCTTCTGAGCAGATTTCGCATCACCATCTGCAACTGTGGCCAATTGCATCACTCCGCATTCAATTAAATTCACGATGTGCAGACTAGATTTGATCGACACGGATGTCCGATAATGAGGTTGCGTTTTTCTATAGAAGTCTCCCACTCATATAATGATAGGCCAGTAGCTGATACAAAAATCATTTGCGGTGAAAAAAGATATGGGGGTGTGCTGAGTTTGTTCAGGGATTGGGGGATGAGATGGATGAGAGATAGATGTCGAGGGACTGTAATGAGAAGCAAGCGAAAGAAGTTGAGTTTAGAGTCCCGCTGAAGAGGTGAGAGAGAAAGGGGGACGAAATGGATACGCACTGTTCTTTGGGCGAGCTGTCGTAGGAGTGGGCGACTGTTTCCAAGTAGGTCCTGGCCAAAGAGGCTGAGGAACTTAGATAAAAGTCTTATGTGATCAGAAGTCAGATCTATTTAGGCTTAGAGGACGCGACTCCACCGACTTGACAGGTTGGCCACGAGGTAGTATTGTTCCGTCTGTGGGCATTTTGTACAGGACTCTAGGATGTTCATGGACTAATGATGCCTGGGTAGACTGGAACTACGCTGACCGTGGTGGTCCAGGGTCATTCAAAGGAACGAAAATCAGGCCGAATTCAGGAAACGTACCGTCCGTATCGTGATCCAGAAAAATATATAGCGATCTTCTACCTCCTTCCCAAGAGTTACGACACAAAACCTCTAGCATCACTGAGAATCACTTCCGACAAACCTAGGCTCAATTGTCGTCTGCCCTAAAATAGCAACTTCAAGCCGAAATGAGTTCCTACGCAACCGATGTGAACAAAATTAATCAAAAAACAAAACATGACGTTCGGCATCAAAATTCTGGAAAGGAGTACTATTCATAAGTCATGCATTGTAATATTCATTCAAAATTTAAGTTAGATGACGGAATGAAAATGTAAAAGGTCTTTCGCCACCCCTATAGGCATGCTACCAAAATCCATTGCGAATCAACTACGCAGCGGACAGCCAGTTCCTGCCGAAGCCTATGCATCCTGCACAATCTACTTCAGCGACATCGTCGGGTTCACCAACATTTCTTCAGACTCGACTCCATTTGAGGTGAGTAGCAGCCCGTCTAATTTCACCGGGATGGTGTTCTGGTGGTAAAACTCAGACTTCCCGGCTCAACTGCCTCCTATACACTATGTGGATTATAAGGTGAACTGATTTATAAGAAAAATGTCTTCTTGCAGAAGGAATTAAGGCTAGATCGCAGTTGGTAGCCAGACCCCGTATTACAGGTGGCTGGAGGGTTTGTTTACTGGGGCTATTTTGTGGAGCACCATAATCACATCTGACCCATTTGGTTTCCGTTTTACGTCTGAGGTTAGGATTAGGGTACCGGCTAATGGTTTCCGATTTTCGGGTTAGGATTATGCCTTTAGGCTTAGGTTTTCGGGTTACGGTTAGGGTTTGAGGGTGCGAGTAGAATTCATTATTACGGTTAGGTCTTTCAATTACGGCTATATCTAAGGGCTACGGTTACGTTTACGATTTCGGTTAGGATTAGGGTTAGGGTCGCCGTCCGCCTGTCCATTCCTGGCTACCAACTGCGATCTAGCCGGAATTAAGAAAGTAGAGTAACGCTGGGCTATTGTTTAAAATTCGTTCTCGTTTAATTGGCAACTACACAAGAATTTGGACCTCCTGAAACAGAAGAAATTCGGTGTTCACCAAGGTTTTCTATGCGTCAATACTTGAGTGCATTCTTGATAGCCAGCAAATGGCCAGAGGTGGCTTCTTAAGCAGGAAGTGACTCCAAAAACGGGTTGCTTCAAGGTACGGCGAATTTCGGACGGATCCAAACTTGAGACCTTCAAGCTCATCTAAATGCGTCGTCATGATAATGTTACAGACAGTTTAGGGGCGTATGAGAGTTGTATTTAACGGCTGTGTCCTTCTCTCTGTGGCACTCGCTACCTTCGAATTTATTTTGATAGACCGCCTTCGCATCCTTGATAGCGTTTCATATTCGTCCTGTGCGTACTGTGATGTAGGTTTCGGCATGAAAGGGACATCACCATCTCATCAAATGTCAACCGAAATTCTGAAATATGCTTTGGACTCGAAACGAATACTTAAGTAGTGTTGTAATATCAGTTGTTGTGCCGGCTTTTGAATAGGCTTGTTTTTGACCATCTGTAAAAGTACACTCTGTATAAGGCGATTATCAAAGTAGTATGATTACATTCCGTTGATTTTCGATATCCTTATACATTTAAATACACTTCATTGAAGACACGCGCAAAAATATGCATTTTTATACTCATTCGGTATTAAATTACGTCTTCTTCAAATTTTATAATAAGGAAAATGGTATATTTAGGTTTCAAAAAACATTTTTTTATTTCTGGATACTTTTTCTCTACTTGCCGTCACACTTACACTCAGGGCTTGCAAACTATGTGAATGCCGTGGGCATTCCACCAAAGGAATATCCCGTAGAAAGGCGTAATACAGGAAGCATGCAATTGTGCAACGGATTTGGACCAGGCTGCATATTTTATAAATAGCTCAATAAACCTGCTAATATTATGCTGTATGAACTGAACTTTTTCGGCCATAGATAACCTCATGATAAGAGATATTTTAAAGCCAAAATTCACACTCCCTTCAGGCAAAAACGATGGAGAAGAAGCAAGTTGCAGCCAAATGAGTACAAGAAAAATATTTTCTGCGCGTTTTTTGCGTGCTATATTTGGACCTATAAGGGCCTCAAAGTTTAATGGAAGAAATCATACTAAAAAAGAAGGGGGCTTCACCGGGAGGGGTTTATTGGAGATCCGACGTATCGAGTATTCGATTCGTCTACCCATCTTTAGAGACTGCGCACAGCTCCCCTTATATGGCGCACTTTGTTCAATGCGTGACCCGCCAATGCCGGCTGTGTGGCTGCATCCAATCCGCACATCACCGTGACCTGAATCGCCCCCGTCGGCCGCGGAGATGACTGACGGCCCCGATTGTCGCGCGCCGTGACTGTTCCCCGCTAAGAAGGTTCGTAAAGTCAGATAAGGGGGAGGCAAATTGATGTGGCGGTTGACAGAGCAGTCGGTGGACATCCAGGCTTCTTGCCGTATGATCACCGCCCCGGCCCACAATCTCAACGGCGTCAAAGTTGAAGATGTGTCCTTTTTCCGCGGCATGGGTTGCTACCTCCGACTTTGGGTCCGACCTTCGCACGGCCAACTTACGCGCGTGCATTCGCGTTTGCAGCCGTCGGCCGGTTTCCCCAACGTAGTTGTACTTCCCGCAGCTGCATTGAAGTCGGTAGACAACGGCCGACATCTCTTGCTTATTGATCGGCTCTTTTGGCCGCATCACTTGAGTCAGGCCTGTGGGTAACACCTATTCCGAGTGGCTAGTGGGATCTAGCCACGACTTCGGATACCCGGAATGCTCCGCCATGAGTTTGACTGACTATGCTCTTCATTCCGTTTCTTTGGCTGCCTTCGGTTCCGTTCAATAAATGTCCGCGGATAGCCATTGGCTCTGAAGAGTTCTTGGAGGAGCTTTATCTCGTCAAGTTTGGCGGCTATAATGGGTCCTGTGAGCAGGACTTTCCAGTCTCTGAAAATGAATCAGCTACTCGAAACGTCGGACCTCCAATAAACCCCTCACGGTGAACGCGTCTTCTTCTTTTGATATGCCACCTGAGAATCGCATTTTCACTAATATTGATCAGAAATCATACTACTTAAGAATTCGTCTTCTGCAGAAGGCATTTTTGCTGACAGCTGAGAAGAGGCCCATTCAAAAACCGACATTCCGGCTGGATTTAACCATCTTCGGGTTATGCTGCTTTTCAGCATCAACTGCAGGAAAGAGAGGGGGATATGTATGAGCCGACAGTGCAGGTACCCTGCAGTGCTTTTCTACTGTCAATTTGGACGCTCAAAACGCTCCCTCCATCGCCACAGTTCGCAAACGCCTTGGCCGGCCAAGTTTGTATAAGTACTGCGCAGCGAATTATCGCCACTCGTGATACTTTGTGGTTTCGCTTTTCAGTCCTGTTTTTCTGCGGAGTATCTATTCCCTTGTGCAACAGACTTTCTAACCGACCCAGTCAGAGTTTTATTGCTGCATATATTCGTGAAAGCCTCGCTTCATTCAAGGACTCACCTGGACGAAATTTCTTAGGTTTCCTTTAAGATCGTCATGTAGAGTAATCTTTATCAATTTGGATTTTGAAAGCTATTTCAGCCGTTGGTAAAATCTGAACCTTTCTTCCGTCCAGATTTTCCTCTAAGTGGGCTAATATGCCCTACCTTTTTTTCCTACTTTGATTGGTTTCCCGCTTTTTCCTGTCATGTCTTCTGTTACCCTAGACAATACTGCCTCTCTTTTTTTGTCTTCACTTCTTGATTCTCGTTTGTTTCATTTGTCCTACAGGTTGTGGCCCTATTGAACAAACTCTACAGCGAATTTGACCAGATTATCGATCGTTATGATGTCTATAAGGTGGAGACAATCGGTGATGCGTGTAAGTACATATGTCTAGCACGTCTCCTGTTTCATAGAATTGTGTTGCCCAGATAGACGTCCAACACACGAATTCCTTGAAGAGGTTGTTGGGAGTTCTTGATAGGAGAAAAGAATTGTGTCGATGACGGTGGAACAGAGAGGCTGGCACTAAATTTGCAAATTTGGCACATGAATTAGGGAGCATGGAGTAACTGAAAGAAAACTGCAAGATTCTAAGTGACTCCCCAGGTCACAAACCGTAGACACCAAAGGAGGCACGCACTTGCAATTTAAAGGTGGAGACAGAAGGCGAAGGTCCTGTTTTTTTAAATTTCACTTGACTACAGTTGTTGTAGCAGCCCTTTGAAATGTGTCATATATAAATACTAACTCAGAATTAATCATGCCTGGCTTCTCAGTACTGATCACCGTGCTTGATGCTACGCAAACAGGTAGGGTCTGAAACTGGACCTGAATCTGAGCGCTCAGCTGTGACCAAATGTAGCTGCTGCCCCAATGCTAACAAATAGAAGGTACCACTTTTCTTGGTGAATCACATAAGTTCAAATACTTTTTTCTTGAGTAAGAGCAGCCAACAGCCTAAAGGCAGAACTAATTTGTTTTTTTTTTGAAGATATGGTCGCGTCTGGAGTGCCAAGGAGAAATGGGCTCCGCCATGCTGTCTCAGTCACAGACATGGCTCTAGATCTCGTCGAGGCCTCGCACTCCTTTGTCATACCTCATTTGCCAGGCGCGCCACTGAAGATACGGGTCGGTCTACACTCAGGTAGTCTCTCTCGTATATTTACTATGCTAAGTTATTTTTACTTTTCTCGTTTAAGTAGGTATACTTTACGTTCTGTTTCAGGGCCGGTGTGCGCTGGAGTTGTGGGATTGAAGATGCCTCGTTACTGCCTCTTTGGTGACACTGTGAATACGGCGAGTAGGATGGAGAGCAATGGTGAAGGTAAGCAGCAGGAGTTCTGTTCAGGAAATTTTCCTGACAGCAGGTTTGTTGGTCAACAGACGAACAACCTTTTATGAGAATCATTGCAGAGAGCTTGCATTATTATTTATGATATGCGAATTCGGCTGCGTGTGAATTCACCTCCAAAATTGGTATTTATTATTTTAGCCTACAAGATACACTGCAGTGACGCCACACACGAAATCCTCGACAAGTTAGGAGGTTTTCTTTTCCAAGAGCGTGGGACAATTGAGGTCAAGGTAATCTTACGCATTTGAAAGTTTGAAAATAATTTGACCGTTGAATATCTAATTGAGACCTTGTAAACTCTTCTATTCACCTCTTAGGGTTTTCCAATAATTCGGCAAGAAAAGGATGGGAATTTTCATAAATTATTGCGTTATTTCATTTGAAAAATTCTCCTCGTGACATTCACCAAATGCATCGGAAATCAGCAAAGAAAACGTATACTACTAAAGTAGCCGTTTTTCGCCGAGTGCGGTTTTTGCAGGCGACTATGATGGCCCGCTTGACGGCAGCGTGGGAACATTGAATCCGACTAACCCTGCCCCTGAGAGCATTTATATCCTGTTTACAATTAAACAGATAAGTACCCATTTAAATGTATTGGCCTGATGATCAGTTACTGAAAACATATGTTTGCCAACTGACTTTTCAAAGCATGAATCCCTGAGCCAATAACTGGCAGAGTCCTTCTAAGTCTTACGATCCCAAGTCTGACAAAATTCATTGTCGACGTGTAAAAACTACTCATAATGTTTCCGTCTTGTCGACCAAGGCAGATCATGAGGCGGTCTGTTAGGCTCATCCAACGCAGAAAATGATAGAAAGTAAGTAAGCGATCAAATACTTGCATAGTCTGGGAGAATCCAGAAAATGCTTAACGCTGGCTGATAGAGAAGAGCTGTGATCAAATGCAACAACTGCCCCAGGCGATCGTTCTCGTTTCTTCTCCTTCTGAAGTAGTTCCACAGATGCGTATATTTACTTTAGTCATAGAATAAACGCACGAACTAGGCTCGGTCGAGGTGTACATTGGCCTAACGGTTATCGCTTCTTTTTGATTTTTGAAACGATCTGAAGAAAAATTGTCCTCTGGTAAGGGTAGATTTTACCAATTAAAACCTATAGGAAACAAAAATATTTCGCTGTGCAACAATTTCTGCGCTGGCATACTCTGTTTATCATAAGCAGCATTTCACTTTCTCGTTTGATGGATTTTTTAGACTCGGTCTACATGGGCCATGGTAGATGAAAGGCCGGAAAGCCACCTTTTTAGTAAATGAGAGGCTTGTCTTGACACGTGGCTATCTCCACCTACGCCGGCACGCGCTTCCGAATAAGGTTAGATCGATTCGTCGGCACCCTGTTCACAACTCTTAAAGTTTCGCCGACGTCCGCTTGATGAACAGTTTTCGTTAAATGCGCAAGAACATGATTCGGGATGAATCTTCTGATTTTTTAATTAGCCCAAAATGGGTGGTGTTCCCGCATCCTTTAGAAAGCCGCTGAGTCATTCGGACTATAAAGCATGGTTTATTATAGTGAATAGGAGTAATTTGCATTAATAAATAAATTTTTGTGCATCCTTCCCATAGAATCATATTTAACGGCAACACTAGAAGTCGCAGAAAGTACATATACTACTAGAGTAATGCTTTTGTCCGTGGGAAATGTACAAACCGGCATTCTACTGCTGGTAATGAACTTGGAATTGCATTTCCCGACGATTTGTTTTGCAAACTCAGTTGAAAAGAGACGCGAATGTGAATTTGTTCACTGCCCTATAAATTAAGGCTTCAATTTAAGTCGTCCAAACTCCCAATGCCTATGATGTTGCAGTTGACCTTGAGATTCGACAACGTCCACACTTCGAGAAGATTGACTGCTTCCGACTTGCTAAACAGAGCGAAAGACCCTGACGGCTTGCAAACCGACGGAGGGTGTATTAGACAAAAGGTATTTAAAGCATCCCCAAAACGTGGCTCCTACTTCAAAGTCGGTAGGTGTCGTTAGTTAGTCATGTTCCGGTACTAGGTTAAGAAGGATTCTGAACTGGGACCGAGGCTCGGCGTTAGGGTGTGCTCAAGTCAATACTCACTCGTCTACGAGCGATTATATTTGCACTAGAGGCCTACCTTACCTGTGTAGACTGTAGAGCCATATCATGGGTGGCAGTGTAGATCACTTCCTTCGGTTCTTCATGACCAGCGCCAGGGTCTAGTCCAGAGACAATATTTAGCTGCGATCATAATTTCAGGAGTGCCGTCTCCCCTTCTGTTGACATCCTTATCACCCGCAAACGAAAGACCAGTAATTCCACCCCCCCCCCTCGACCCCAATAAGGTCACGCTGCTTCTTCTGACTCCTCTTCCGTTCTTCACCAGGGCAAGGGAGCAATGCGAACTTGGTGGGTTACTGGCCGAACACGGCCCCCCATCCCCCCTGACTGCTGTCCCATCCCAGTAAGAAAGGCCAAGAAAACCAAACCTGCTGCCTCCTCAAGACGGGTTTCCGCAGTCGGCACTCGGAGGGATAAGGGATCCGTCAGTGCGGTTTCAGGCGGCGGCGGAGGCAATACAGCCGTGGGTGAGCTGCCGCACGGGCCAGAGAGTGAGACGACAACGAATCCGGCCATTGAGATTATCGCACCGGAACTGATGACTGACCAAAAAGGCTCGGCCATAGATGCCCAGGACAAGGACAGGCTAGTAGACACCCCGAGGAAACGCAGCAAGACCAGCCTTGCCCCACCCAACTCCACCAGATAGACTGAAGAGACGGGAGATAAACACATAGTTGCATTTACTCACCGTTTATGCAAAGCCTCTTCTATCCGTCACGTTCTCACCGATAGGGCAGTCATTCAGGCCTCTCTCTCTGTGTGTGTGTTCTCTCTATTTTTCTGTAGTGTACATTTTCCATCCGAGAAACTGCGCCATTTTCAGTTCCTTATTCGCCTGAGTTTTGCTTGTTTTTAAACTGAACTGTACAGTATTTTGAGAAGAAAATGGAAGCACTTATTTTCTTTCCTCACGCCCTCGGAGTGGTTTTGTCCTCTTCTCTGGACAAGACTTGTGTAATTTTGGCTTCGAAGTAGCTGATTGGAGGACTGGGAGTCTTAGTGTGGTTTTTATAGCATTCGCGCACACATGAAATCCGAGCCGCCCTTATGAGGGCCTGATGCATGCAGATACGTGTAGACGGGTGCTTGGCTTGCTCAGCAACTATGTCCAAGCCCAATTCTGTTCGCCTCGGCATCGTTAGATGCTGCACAGGTCTGTTATCATTACAAACTGCTTCATGAGTAAGTCACCGTCCTATTCCCACTAGGCACATGGTCGTTCCTCTTGCTGAACGCAACCTATAAACGAAACGCTACCTATAAACTAAATTAGCCTACGCGCAAGGAATAATTGCGTACCGTAGAACCCTCTCTCCATCTCCAGGCTTAATCCTGTTCCAATGAAGAGACTAAGGCGTGACGACAGATCTGTACCGGACCAGGCACTTAAACCGTTGTTTACGTTTGTCTCGCATGTGTTGTTTTCTGTCTGCACTAGCAGACCTACTGGAGATCCAGCCATAATGTGGTGACGACTAGTTGACAGGAAAGAACGGTCAGATCCTAATAAGCAGCCTTCCCTGAGGCAGCTCTACCTCAGTTGCCTCTGATAGGGGAATGGTCGTAAGAGGGGTTTTACGGGTGGGGCCAGCGTACACGCCAAAAATTAGGCCACAGAAATGTAAGGAAAAAGGCCGTAGAGTGAAGCGCGACGAAACTTTGGATGAGGTAAAAACTAACCGCTACATATGAGTGAGCGCAGGAGATCTAGTCAACCAACGGGAAGCGCGAGCGCAAGGCGAAGGCGTAGGTGAGGGTGTGCAGGAAAACCATCCGCAACGCAGACATGGATGCACCGAGCCCAGTCACTCGCTGGATTAGAAAGTCAACTTAGCACATTCGATTTTGCAGCCAAGCCACTCGCTGGATTAGAAAATAAAGTGGTAACAATCGGGAGATGACCCCCCCCCCAAAAAAATACTGCCAGTCAAAGCAGCCTGTCTTACGGGATAGGTGGTAATAGGGGTTTTATGGGTGGGGCCTTTGAATGCGTGGACAATACTCAAGAATAGTAAAAATTCTTTGAAACATTGCTTTTCGAGCGATAAAGTTTTACTTCATCGTTATATAGCAACAGAAAATGCGCGCAGTGAATGGAAAGGTAGATAAGCCATTCCTGGGTCTACAGCGGTCACATCTCAACCTAATCTAAGTGAAACAGGGTATTGACTGCTCGTCAAAGGAAACTGTGGTCGTATTAGACAAGAAATGTGTAGGCCTATAACCTACTCAAATGAATATAGTAGGCATTATTCCTAGGCAAACGACATTTTTGGTGCCATCTCCCGATTTTTACCAATAAAGTAAACACATTGGGTTCGTATCTAACCCCTTTCAGGATTAGGAAGTTAGTTAAACACATAAGGTTTCGTAGCTTAGCCATTCGCTGGATTAGAAAGTAAAGTTAGCACATTCGGCTTCGTAGCCTAACCACTCGCTGCATTAGAAACCAAAATGGACACATTCGGTTCACATCCTAGCCACACAGTAGATTAGAAAATAAGGTAAACGCATTTGCTTTCGTAGCCCAGCCACGCGCCGGATTAGGAACTAAAGTGAACACAATTGGTTCTTAGCCTAGCCACTAGCTAGATTAGAAAGAAAAATGAGCACATTCGGTTTCGTAGCCTAGCCACTCGTTTAAATAGAAAAGAAAGTGAACTCAATCCGTTCGTAGCCTAACCACTCGTTGGATTAAATAAAAACGCGCCTGGGGAACGCACTTAGTCAAGCCACTCTATTCAATTTAATCACACCCTCCTAAACCAAATCAGTATGTCAACAGTCTTAAGTATGCATGCATGGCTGCATGTAAGGGGATCGGTAAGATGGGGTTTGGTAGCCCCACCTGATGGACACAATACTGTTGGAGTTGGGGTTAAGGGTTATAGTTAGGGGTTCTGGTTAGGGTTGGGGGTTAGGACAACTATTTCTCAACCATTCAAAATACAACCGCGCATTGCCGATTGCTTTCCATTTTCCATACAACTACTTGACCTTGTCGCCTGTGCATTTCCCGGCCCACTTATAAAACCCCTATTACCGCCGGTCCCGTGTTAGAGGGGACTGGGGTTTGTTTACTTCAGGCGGGGCTACATAACCACATCCGACCTTAAGAGGATCTTACGGGAATGAACGGTCAGATCCTAATATCTGGTTTAACCACGTCCTCCACTCACTAAAAACAGGTTGTGTATTAGTCTGGGTCCACACCTCTGGCTTTTATGGGCCGATTACGTAACCTGCATGATCCCCGTGGAGAGCGAATGTAAAGGCGATCACAGAGGGAGGTCAGTACGGAGTCGGCATCACTCGTAATGCTAAAAAGGTATGAAAGCCTGTGCTATGCCAATATCAGCAAACCGTGGCCCTCGCAGCCTGGTATGCACCGGCAGTCCCCTGACACCTGGTTCCCTGCCGGAAGATGCGCGTGCGCTCCCGCTGGGTGGTGGACATCGCTACCCAGTCATCATCCTCGTCCTTCTGACCCCTATTGTTGGTAAAAAACCTGGTCATTTGCTGTATGGACCAGGGGGTGTGGGAGGGAACGCCAAGGTGCGGGCCCGACCGTGCCATCCACCTGCGCCCCCTCCCGATTCTGGTCTTTTTGACTCTATCTTAACACCGGACCCAAGTGGGAAGTGGGGAAGAGAGAGTGCGGTAGGTGCTGCGCAAGTCTGCTATCATGATAGACTAATTTACGCGCGAGTCACCATGCCTGCTGCACCATGCCGCGTAGCACACGGTGGGCATCGTCGGACTCGACGGTCGGACTGTCGCAGTTACTGACTTGAAAGCAGGAAACTATGAAGTCCATCTTCTATCCATGCTGTTTCAAAAAAAATCAGTGACAACGCTCAGCTACCGGTTAAGTTCGTTTCCTAAGGAGCATAGATGCGGAGGTGTGTTCTTGAGCGGACGGCACTGTTACATCAAAAGCACGAGCCGCACACGAGACAATGACCATTATGACCCGTCAGCCACGACGTCTGGTTTCATTTGGTGTCCACCTGACACCATCCTACCACCGATACACCCTTTGGGAGACGACAGTGAGCATGGCCGATATCATGGAACCTTTATTCATTATAGTAAATCGGCCGCTCTATTCAGCCCTTGGATAGTTGGGGACCGCAAAGTTACCAAGTGACGGGATAATTCAGTCCCCGGGTCAGATGACCCGATCACAATGTTTCCCTTTTGCCATGCTGTTGTGGCAACTATAATCACTGGAAATGATGAGCCAGCGGACCCTAGCTCACTGAGGCTGAATTATCGGCGTGTGTACGGCGCGCGTAGATGTCGGCTTCTTTGCGTCGCGCCGGCCACGACGACTACCTTGTTCCACCTATCTTGTCAGTAAGGGCTCGGGGGTGCAAGAAGAGATGTTTGGACAGAAGACCCTAAATCTTACTAACCTGTCACCCAAATAACTCCGACTGCCTCAAGGACCATACACTTCTCAAGTCATATGACGAAAAGTTGCATATGAACATCACAGCCGGACTGTGTTGAGTCAGTCCGTTTTAACGATGAAAGGCTGTTGACATTAGTTCAAATCGCTAGGCGCTCGGGCGTTTGGACAGCACCGTTTACGTTCCGAAGGAAGAGGTTAAAAGGCTACCCCAACACACTATTTAGATATGTCATCGACAGCTGACCACAACTGCCGAGTGCCCATCTACCGTCGAAGCATTCAAACTGTGAAGGTTTCTTATCGTCCACTGTCTAACTTTACTCACTCCGGCAGACAGAAATGTGCGTTAAATTTTGGCTAGCCCAAAGACCGAGTAATCAGAGAGGATTACTACTTGGATGGCCTGTGGACTCACTTGATTCAAGGTAGACATTGTTGCCTTCTGCGGGCCTTGCTTTCCAGATGGAAGCTAAATGAGTGACATTGAGATTTGGCATATTTCCTTCTGCAGCAAGCGTTGGATGAAGGGTTATAAAAAAGTCAACCGGCCTGCCGGCAAGAACAAACTCGCGAGAAAGCTTGCTGTCGTGTTTCAAAGAAACAAGAATTGCCTCACCACCGTCGGATTACCACTTCCTAGTGGAATATCGTCACACCGGTGGCAATGGGTGCCAAAGTACGAGACAGTGTCTGTTAGCGCCTATTCTCTCTGTGTTTATATCAGAGACAGACGAACTCGTCGTGTTTGTCTACTCTTTCTACTGCCAAAAAGGAACCACATCACCTTCTGTTGAAGAAATATTCAAATCTGGTCTTTCGATTTTAAACATCGATTCCAAGCTCAAGCGTTTAGTAAAGACGACAGACTGTTGCGACGTGCCGGAAGAAACAAGGATAAACGACCTCGAATGCCTTTTTACCGTCATTTCCTCATTTCTGAAATAAAACTAGTCGGATACGGAAACATGGACCCTCCGTGAAATTATCCAAAACTACTTGGACAGTGTTTGCTGGCTACGCTGGAGGCGGCTGCAATCAGGCTACGCGAACCAGTCCTATGCGCACAGAAGAACTTCATGCAGGTCCCTCAGGTGCCATGGTTCAAAGCCACCAGGCCAGCCACCTGCATGTAATTACCTTCCCCGGCACCCACCTTCTTCCTGACGCTGACTGGAAATTTGATGTTTCACTCCCCCAAATCCCCAGCAACGGCATAATTATCTAGCCGCCTGTATATGTTTGCTCATTGTTCCAATAGCCATTGAAGTACACAGCCTCACTCAGGTAATCTTCTCTAGCCGGAAACGCATTCCAGAGTTTCAGCAAACGTCTGATGAGAAATGTCACCTACTATATACGCATGCCAAGAAAACCGGTTAGCCTACAGCGATCGGACACTTAAGTACTCCCCGCACACTTAAATCATAGCTCTTCTTGCCCTAATCTTAACTCGCTTTGGAATTTTGCGAAAGGCTACTTTGTCCTGCAGTCCCCCCCCCCCCCAAAAAAAGGCACCAAGTTTAGCAATGTAGGAGAAATCTCCTGACTCTTTCCACTTAATCACTTGACTATGAATTTTGGTCAACGGCTTCTGACAGAGATGCAGCACGATTACGTTAAGATCCCAGGTCCAACAAACTTCATTCAGTCAGGAATGGGCGCACACCGATCTATTGGCTTCACGAAACAAACAAGCTCCGCATCGGTGGCAAAGGTCACGAACAGGCAACCAATTACCAGGCCGAAGTCGGCCAAGTCATAATAGCAGCGAGGAGGGACGACAGAGAATGCGGGTAGATTGATACAGTACTGTTTTGGGCTTATTGTGCCTTCATTCAGCCAATCATAACCCTGACCATCAGCAGCTGGGACGAGAAACACAAACATGCGCACAGACGCAGCTGGCGCAGTTGGTCCACCACTGGGGTCTACCAGATGGGTCATAAGCACTTCATCGAACCGAAGCCAATAGATCGGTGTGCGCCCATTCCTGATTGAATAAATACCCGATCTGCAACGACAGAGAATGACAGGTGGCGAGGCATTGATGAACTTCGGTTCGATTAAGTGCCTATGACCCATCTGGTAGACCCCAGTGATGGACCGAGGTCTTCTTGCCAACGCATGCCTACACTCAAGCCATTACACTCGACACAGTTTGACAGCTTCGTCTTCTGAACAAAGACACTGAACGGAGCCCAAATCATCCTCACCGACAGACGCGCGCGAACCCATAGTCGCCCGCGTGTCAAGGGTTCGGGTCGCCGCTGGGCTTCTCTACAGAAAACACCACTTCTGTTGGTATCTTTCCCCTTGAAAAAGGAGACACGATCGCTGGGACAAGAGCTTTATTAGCCTGGCGTTTCGGATTCCTGGTCGAACCCATCATCAGAGACAGCAGCGGATACGGGTGATTCATGCACAACAGGCTGCAGTATTTATAGGGCGTAGTCGCCATGCTACCGCATACCTATGAACATTAACGGCTCCCCCCTTCATCCGGGATCGTCGCCCTTGGTGTGCTAATTGTTTGATGGCCGACATTCGCGTCGTTAATTGCTGAAATTTCATCACGTGCGTTGGATGTTGGTGGGATGATTGCTCGACCATCTGACGCACCGACCCTGGTGTTGGGAAAAGTGTTCACCTGTGTGCTCCCGAGTGGCTAATTAGTCCGCCTAGGCGAAGTCTCAGTACAGAGTATGGAAGGGGAAGTTCATTGCACCTGTTAATGGACCGGGGGCCAGTAAACTTTGATTCAAGTAGTTCCCGGCTCACTCGGTTGTCACCTCTTACGAGAATTTCAGTCTCGTCGAATTTGAATGTGTGGCCGGATCTCGTCAAGTGAACTGCAACTTGAGAGCTGGCATCACTTCTCCGCACCGCTGCAGCGTGTTCGGCCATTCTCGTTCGGAGCTGACTTCCGGTTTCTCCGACGTAGTTGCTTTGTCCGCAACTGCACCAGCGATCGTGTCTCCTTCTTCAAGACTACTTCCTGAGACTCGTCTCTTCGCTTCTATTGTCTTTCTCCTTCTCTTCTAAAACTGGAGTAGGTCGTGGTTGGTCGTGGCGCAATGAGTACGCGCAGTACTTAGACACTACAACCACGCCCTTCATATTCAGCGCGGAGACTTTACCTGGGCAGAGTAATTGGCCCCGCTGAGAGCTTGCGGATAGACACAGTTTCCAATACTAGTATCAGCCGGCCAAATGACCGAGTGACCGTCACGAAAATAATCAACGGTGATGAGATTACAATTCAGTATGCGAAGGAGTAAGCAGACACTGCGCAAAATACGACCTTCGGTGATGAGTGCGGGAGTTGTTTTGTGCCGGCATGGCAACTGCCTTCTACAAATGCAACTGCATCCCGTCTGCGTTCACCACCGTATGTGCAACGGTTTCTGAGGTTGCGTTCCAATGAGAAGTCGATACAGAAGGCGAATAAATGTGCTTAGATTGACTAAGTTGACAGATCTGGGTTGGTAATTTGAAGAACAAGATGGGCTCAACGAACAGGTATCTTGGAGTGTTGACGTTTTGGAGAGCTTGATCGGCCCACCATTGTCAAAGCGTAAAATGCACTTAGTCGAACTGAAATAGAAGCGCCATGCCACGCTGGTCGGCCTCATTCTGATCGATTTTCCTCTTCTCTCTCTACCTCGGCTTGGTGGGCTCTTTGGCTGTGTGCGCTATGAGTCACCACCTCGTAGGGGGGAGGTTGTCGAGCCTCAGTTGAGGTTGGTTGGTCTGGCGGCTTTTTTCCTTTCTCGTCGAGTGAACTTGTCGTCGGCCTTCTTAAGTTCTGTGTGGTCGTCTGCTCCTGAGCTATGTGACCTTTATGACGCAAGACTTTGTAAGCTGCAGTATGGTCTAGAGGCCTATCGGTGGAGTTGGTGTCTGAGTATCACGCCTCAACTGTTAGTCGTTCTACCTTTGAGTCGTCGCGGCTTAAGATAGTAGTTCCCTGAAAATCGAAAGTATCATCAGTCTCTCCAACGTGCGTTGCAATTTGAGATTTGACGTCTAGCCACTGAATTGCCGATTTATGATCTTGTAGACGGGACTGCAATTTCCGCCCGGTTTCCCCAACGCACTTGCAGCCCCTATCATCGCAATTTATTTTGTAGGCAACTGCTGAGGTCTTTAGGTTGTATTAAACGACACCGAATTTTTGCCTGGATTCAATGGGCTATGGACGGATCAATGTCTTCTTCCAGCTGATGTAATGTTGTGGAATGATTCCGATACCGCGTTCTATGGTCAGATATTTCGTCAGAACTTCCAGGAAATCGAGACTGCTGACTGTTTGGTAATGGTAAGAACTCAATAAACTTATACAAACCTCGAAATGCACTCAATTTGGCAACCTCCTTCCTTCTTTGTGTAAGTTAAAGCGACGATCAGAGGATCCGTTCAGAAAATCCGGGGGGACCGCTGGTTCAAACCCATCTTGAAGCCCCGTTTTCTGACTCTGTCGATTTTAGAACTGTCTCCATCAAGTGATGTTTCGCGACTGTTGCGGGCTGATATTACGAACTGCGAATCACACGGATATCATCAGTTCTGTTAGAAAACGGTAGGATTCCATGTGCGCTGGATTATCTTCACAATGGCCTTTACGATTTAGAAGAGTAAGAAATATTTTGGATGCTCTGTCTTCGGATTTATAAATAACTGCTGGTTAACGCACTTGATACCATAGATACATCTTAGGTAACCGTTTAGGATGTTTCAATTCATGTCTGCATGAGTTAGTCCCTGAGAAAGGCGATTTTGCAAAGCTCTTAGATTATGGTTGGGGGTTTCTGCCGCCCGACCCTTCATTGCACGTTGTCTTTCAATGTGAGTCTGTTTACAACTATGTTTTAAAGTCATACCCAAATCGGTAACGGTTGAAGTTGAGTTGGTTCTGGATGCGCTACCTCCTTACAATGTTTTCAATTCCGTGTAGAATTCCCGACATCTGGCGTGCTCTATCGCCAGAGTGGCATATCGGTAGCAGTTTCGTCCCACGAACAGCTGACTTCCGAAGCATTCTTATATGATTGATCGAATCGCATCCATTATATGCTGCCAAAAACGAATGAGGTGGTGAAACGCTAAGATGAACGTATCGCATGAGCTAAAAATCAACGTTGCATGTGATTGCTTTCGGGTTTTTAGTAATTTCCTTTTCCTCTCGAGTTTTTGTTAGGTTGGTAATTTGACCCGGGTTTCGTGAGTTATGCGCTTTACTTTCAAAAGGAATCTCAAGTTATCATAAAAAAACTTCCTGTGGAGAATACGTAACCAGGTTCATTCTCCACTTGGTTTTTTTCGAGTTCCATATAGTGAGGTGGCGAAATTTGTCACATTAGTGTGCTTCCTCCATATCTTTCAACGAAGGGCTGGTGCAGACGTTTTTTTTCCTCAGCGTCGCCAAATTCCGATGGAATAAGACATTGTATTTTGTTTCAAAACATGTATTGCTTTTGGAAGCGAAAATTTACCTTCCTTCATCTCTTAGATTTGGTATGCCATGAGTTAAATACCTTTATTAGTCAAAATGGTACTAAAGATCAGATAGGAATAAGACACTGTTCTCATTTTTATCCCTGTCTGGGATCGAGTCGTCAACCTTAGCAACTGTATGGCCCTTAGCGAGTTCTTGCGATTTTAATGATGACAGAAACGCTTAGAAACTGATAGGCGGCCTCAAGGACATCGCAAGGTCGAACATGCACGTGCATAATATTCAAACAAGTTTAGTATTGATTACTTCTACGGCCGTCCCTGGACAGTCGTCATCCGCGACGCTAGCTGTCACTGGATAATGTATTTCACGAGCCACTAAACCGTCCTCTTCTAAGACAAAGCCTCAACCATGCCCATCGGTCAGGAACAATTGGAGAAAATCTATGCAGCGAAGGAGAAGGAGTTCTTCGAAAGGTTTAATGCCAACCCGAAGAACACAGCTACGTGGGATGATTTTCAACGCATTCGAACACTCGGTAGGGGCGCTTTTGGACGCGTCTTGCTGGTGAAATACCGAAATCAGGAGGAATACTATGCCATGAAAGTCCTCTCAAAAGTGGAAATTGTCAAGAGCCGACAGGTTGAAAATGCAATTATGGAAAAGCGAATTCTCGCTGCCTGTAACATTCACCTGATCCTTCGACTGGCCTTCAGCTTTAAAGACAACAGCTACCTCTATATGGTTACCGAGTTTGTAGTGGGTGGTGAGATGTTCACATTGTTGCGGAATATGCGCAGATTTCCGGAAAATATGGTTAAATTCTACGGCGCACAAGTTGTTCTCGCTTTTGAGTACCTCCATCGCCTCACGATCGCCTACAGGGACCTCAAACCCGAAAATCTGCTAATTACAGGTGAGGGTTTTCTGAAAGTTGCTGACCTGGGTTTTGCAAAACTGATTCCGAAGGATAAACGCACATGGACTTTGTGCGGAACACCCGACTATATGGCGCCTGAAATCATCATGAACAAAGGTTATAGCTATTCCGTGGACTGGTGGGCATTCGGTGTTTTGATGTATGAGATGACTACCGGTTTTCCGCCGTTTATGCACCAAGATCAAATGAAGACATTTGAGCACATCATATCGGGAAAAGTAAAATTTACCAACCAATTTGGTCCGGAAATCAAGGACTTAATCAAGAACCTCATCCAGGTTGACCTCAGTCGCAGGTTTGGCAACCTCAAGAATGGCATAATGGACATCAAGGATCATAAGTACTTTGCTGATATTGACTTCCTCGCCATTTATAACAAAGAAGTCAAAGTCCCCTACAAACCCAATTGTAAAGGTCCCGGTGACACAAGCAACTTTGAGAAATGGGAAGAGGAGACCTTGAAGGTTGCCGATAGGCCAAAGTTCAAGACCGAATTCGAGGCATTTTAGTAATATTCCAAGAGCCCGCACGAATTTATTCGGATTTCAAGATCCAAAGACTTGCCAAGTGCGGTATCACCCAAATTGGACACCCCAACTTCCTTTCATTAGAATCCGTTCCATGAATTTCCTTTCCTTCCCCTATTTTTTGCGATGCAACTTCTTATTTGCTAGCAATGTCTATTGCTTTATATTTTTGTGTATTGCAGTCGGACAAAGTAAAATATAATTTCTTGAATTTACCATAACTACCTTAATTTGATGCAAAGAACTCTGAGGTGGAATTCGTGCGCCGGTAGATGTGTATAAAGGTCGTACGTAGACAGCATGTTGTATCTAGTCCTGTCCCCTACGGACTGTAGATGTCAAGGTCAGAGCCACCATCCAGCGTCCGAGCAGCGGTTCGTTGAGGCAGACACGTTGGTGTCGACAGCGTCCGGGAAATAAACGCGCTAGTACTGCCCAGTACAGTTCGAACTTCAAAAGAGATCGACTGGAGATACAGCTTTGCTTTTTTTCCTGCCAAGACAGTTCCGACATCCGTCCTTGAAGTCAGTTTCATAATCCCGAGTACTCAGACTCGCTCCTGACAGTATGGCTTCGGACTGAGGACCGCTCTCGTCTTAGAGCCGTGGGCCCTGCTTCTGACGAGGAGCGACGAGGCCTTCGGTTAGATACGGATAACTACGGTTAGATGTGGCCATTAGTGGAAGACGGAAGTATAGAGGGTTGCACTACTGCATCCTAGAACTGTGCATTCGCTTGCAGGCCAAGCACACAAACATCCGATTCAGAGCTACTCTAGATCGCTTGTGGGCTTTCACCGACGATCCAATAATACGCTTCTAGTAGGCAGTCAACCACGGTCATCGTCCTACCGGCATCCTGAATTACCACCTCGAACACAAGCATTCGCGATCCCATCATTCCTCGTCAAGTCAGTGAGTAGACGCCTGATGTGCACTTCCTGACTGACCTGTATTTCACCTGTAGCAAGCGAAGAGGATCACTGTCTCGGGGGTGCAATGTTGGCCTGTACGTGAATCCCGTATGGACTTATGAAGAAATGTGCACCATTGGTCTCACTCCCCCCCTCTCATGTTCATCAAGTTTCGGCGGAAGCACAAATTCAAGACGACTGGGAGTAGGCGTGTGTGCCGCAACCGTCGATAAAGGGTCAGCGTTTACGTGTGGGTCTCCGCCTTGCTGGTCTCGTATTGAGATTTAGCACCGCTGGAGTGAGGACAAGGTCGTGTGCGGCGCGCGTAGACGGACTGGTTGGTGTTGTTGGTCATTGCGCTCGATCTCATCACTGGTTGATTGGGGGGCTCGGACAGTCAATTAGTGGGTCGGATGTGGCTATGTAGCCCCACCTGAGGTAAGCGAGCCCCAGTCAACTCTAATACGGGACCGGTATTAGTAGGGTTTTTAAAATTGGGGCCAAGAAATGTACAGGAGACGAGGTCAAGTAGTTTCATGCAAAATAAAGCTATTGGGAATGTGTGGTTGTAATTTGAGTGGTTGAGAACTAGTTGCGCTAACCCATAACTCTAATTCCTAACTATAATCCCTAATCCTAAACCCTAACCCCCTGACCCTAACCCCTAATCCTAACCCTAACCCCTAACCATAGTCCCTAGCCCCAACCTCAACAGTATTTTATCCATTAGGTGGGGCTACCAAAACCCATCTTGCCAATTAGTGCGTTGGGAAAGACAAGAGAGCGAGTGAAATCGACACTGGGGTATTAGTCCCAACCCAAACTAATGCCTTCCTCACTATGGTAGATCTACCTTCCCCTGTTGCTCATGTTTCAGCGGAAGGTTGTAGTATGTTTTCAGACATAATTTGCCTCTAACTTCGTTTTCTGCTAGGCAATCCCCGGTGTCATCACTGAGCCACTTCACTGTGAACAGATCCTTTTATCGACCTAACCCCTTAACATAGTCCGCCCTGTTTAGTGGGCTGAAGGAGACTGTCAAATCGGCTAATGAATCTTGAGAGTTCATTTGCATTTCCAAACAGTTTTATAATTGTGGGGCAACTCCATTAATAGTGGAACGTTTTTGCGGAATGTGGATTGCATCTGTAGTGGAATTTTTGTGTAGCTGCGACTTCAAACCATCTTGATGGAAGATTATTTGACAGATAGAGGAAAAATAGGTTTATATATATATATCGATATAGGTAAAGATTTGAGGTCCAGATATTGTATCGCGTTCATCATCCCCCGAAGAAGAGGAAGAAGAAGATAGGGCGCATTCATGGACCGAGTTATATTTGTACTGACGTTTCGGAAACCCTCTTGCGCTGAGCGATAATAGTCTATCCAAATTCGTGTGAGATTCCTCTTTGATCCCGTAGCCATTTAAAATAATGCGTAGACCTCTCCTCTCTCCGACGTCGACGGAAATTGCATCAGAGCTCAGAATCTTTCAGTTCGATAGGAAAAGGACCACTCTAATTATCCACGGTTTGGATGGCGACGGCCATCTCTTTTCCCAAGCTCCTTAACGAGGTACTGACCAAACAGGCTTCTCACCCTTTCCCATTCGCCGTATGGGCGCTGGTTCTTTAGCGGACACGGATCAAACTTCTTAAAAAGATCCATCTTTATAATACCCGCTTCGGGTTATCTTAACCCCATATCCGGCATATTTTTTCATCCCCAGTGGATGGCCCTCAGAGCGGCACTAGCTCCCATTGACACAGAGGGACCATGAACCACTATGTTCATATTCTGCCTCCTCTATTTGACATGGAATTCCACAAACCGAAAGAAAAGATGCCACCGTTCATTTTCTTGTTGCTCCAGTGAATACCATATAGTATATTGTGGAAATGAGGTCGTCATGCAACCAGGGAAGTTGCGGATTGTTGCTGGTTAAGAGTCCCGAGACGCCGTGAAACGGAGGTGGTTGTTGCGTTGTTCGATCCCGTAACTCCACTTTGCGTCGAAAAGTTTGCGGCTGTGTACGAAAAGGTACAATTAAAAAACCTACTGCCATCTCAGACAAAACACCCCCCGAAATTAACCTCCTAAAAGGATGGTAATACGCCTTCCAGTCACTGTTCGCGCGAGTGTCACCGCCTTCGGCTCGCCAACACCGTGACGCTGATCGATATTCCTGGGTGGTTGGCTGTTTTATTAGAGCGGAGCATGGGAACAAGTGATGGTAACAAATTTTTCCTTTGAGCTGCAGCTGAAAAGCTGATCGTCCGAATGCACACTGACCCCTCGACTTCTTGAGCTATCGCAGACACACATCCTTGGATAAAATGATCAATGTTCCCTTCTCCATGGCTGACTAGGCAAGGTTACTTTTAGACTGTGCGAACGCTCCCTGGAACAAGCAGCTCAAGCGAAGGTACACCGGTACTCGGCCTCAGTCAATCACAAAATCCCCGTTTGAGGTAACTCCCAAGAAAAATCCCTACTTATATATATATATATATATATATATATAATGTTAGGGGGCGCTCACCGTATATATATGGTAGGAGGACGCTCACCGATCGTTATTACGGAACTCACTCCTTCCGTTGTGCCTGACGGGCTCTCACTCGAGTCTAACCAGCAGCCGCACAGCGGCGCATCATATAAGCAGTATATTATTACCGATAAAGACTAGGGAGACTGGAATGGCCATTTCTGGCTTATTAGCTGTCCTCAGCCAGTTATACCCAACCCGAAGTATGGAACACCCGAGGCACGGAGTTCTAACAAAAAGGTCGCGAGTTCGAGCCTCGGGTGTTCCACACTTCGGGGTTGGGTATGACTGGCTGAGGATGGCTGATAAGTCAGAAATGGCCATTCCAGTCTCCCTAGTCTTTTCGGTAATTATATACTGCCTACATATATATATATATATATGTGTGTACGTGTGTGTGTATGTGTATGTGTGTGCGCTTGTAGTGAGCACTAGGCCTCCCTCGTCTCCGGTCTTCTTGACTCTGTTTTGACGCCGGGCTCAGGCGGGGGAGGAGGAGAGAGTGTAGGCAGATACAGCGCAAGTCTACTGGCACTAAAAACCCTTGCGCAAGTCACCGTCCCTGCTCCCACCGTTGCAGCTGCAGCTGTGGGGCACACGGTGGACATAGTCGGAATCGACGGTCAAACTGTCGTGTAGTGAGCACTAACTTAGCGCATGCCGTCTCATTACAGCGACTAGCCTAAAGTTGAGTATTTTGGGTCCCCAGCTATGCTGGTTTGTGGTAATAGCTGGTGGAATGCCGTCCGTAGACTGTTATCTTGCATTCCTCCGTCATAGGATCCAGTACATTTGTTGAAGCATTTCCAACTCAGTTCCCCACAGGACCCTTCATGCGTGCATGTCTATGGAATATGTCATTTAGTCCCCACAGAAAGTTACGCATTACGACCCTTAACGAGGCAACCTTCACAGCCGAATAGTTTCGCCTTGTGACTGATAGATACAGATGTGTTGTAGTAGTCTGCTCTCATGGTGGTCTGCGCATCGCTTCCCCATGCAGCTTTCGGTCCACCTACGTTGCTTTGCGTGTTTGGTCAGAGGACTTTCTGCATGACTTTCGCCCTAAACACACGCTGAGTTTTTCATGCACTGCCAAGTATCTCACCTAATAAATGATCTGCGATTATTTAAAATTATGATTTGATGTGGAATTATTTTAATTATTGCTCGACATTTATCATTTAGTGAAGTCAGTCAGACTATTTCCTGTCGCAACAAATTGTAATTTTTAGTTAATCTGAAAAAAATGCAATCTAAAAACCTACTGTCATCCTGGGAAAAAAACCCTCGAAATCAACCTTTTAAAAGATGGCTGCACGCCTTCCAGTCATTGCTCGCACGCGCATGATGGCTCTCCAGCTCGTCAATCGGTATTCCAGTCGTCATCGGATGCTCGCTGTCGCACAAAGCTCGGGTGCATGCACTTCGCGCCAACGCGATTGCTTACTCAGGTGGCCTAGCACGCCCGTCAATCCCTGCTTGCTAGCGCGTGAATCGGTCTTCGGCTCACCGACGCCGTGACGTAGATAAATATTTGTGCTTTCATCGATTGGTCGTAGACGCACAAAGCTCGGTCAGGGGCAATCATTTGGCGCCAGGACTAACAAACGAGAACGGCTGGCACACGCCAGGTGAGAACACCCGCGTGTACGCTTGCTGGCCCCAGGGAAGATTGTCCAACCGAGTCTGTCTATTGTGAATTTCGATTTAAGAAACCTCAAATTTTCGCCCACCCCATATCGACAGTGTTGTTAATAAGGAGAAGGAATGTCGCAGGAATGCGCAGCCTGAACTTTGAATGGTAATGCCCTTTGCCGTGACGGACATTTCGGCAAGTGTCGCTTCCGCACATTTCAAGCATTTCCGAATGCAGCCAACATAAAATGAACCTGTCTCTAGGGGCGGGGGGAGAGTGCTCGACCCAAGATACTCTAGGAACAGGTTTGAACTTCGAAAACCCCGCCAGCTGGGGTTGGCTGATGTCGCTCAAATGGACTAAATTGGCCAGCTCAGCGTCATTTGACGTTGTTGGAAATAGGCCTTGATTATGGATCGCCAATCGTCATGCGACGATGGTCTGCTTAGACCCACGACTAGGAATTCCAGGTAAAAACGTAGCGTCCTATTTTCGTCAGAGTAGGTACGTGAACGATAGTCCAATGTAAATGTTAAAATGTCATGGCAGCGCCTTTGTTCATCAGGACAGGCAGGAAAATATAGCAGTTTCTGTAGGACGTCTTCCGTGATATGCGCTTGCCCATCTCATTCGTCTGCGCTAGTCCAAATCGACTTCTTTTGCAGAACCAACTCAAAGCAGTGTGTGTTCGGCCTTACAGTATCCCCCCCCCCCATTAAGTTCGGTGGTACCCAGCTACTAGAGAAGAAGCCATGTTACTGACTTGTGAATCACAAAAACACCCTGATTGTGGAGATGTAGGACGGCCACTTTGCGCATTAAAGAGATGTACAGTAGGAAGGCTAACTCATGAAATGTCGACCAAAATTCACAGATGCGTTTTTGTTTCGAAAAGGTTAATTAACTAGGGTTGTAAAATTAGTCAGCCTGCAACATAATTTTACAATATTTCCGTTACCTCAGGATGCGGACTTTCGAAGGAACTTCCTTCCGGCTGCATGCAAAAACTACACTCTGCAAAAAATGACCACTGAAGTAGCATGACTTTTTATCATTGATTTTCGATGTCCTTAAAAATTCAATTATATTTCATGAAAATCATGAATAAAATACTCATTCTTTTGCTCATTCGATAGAAAATTACGTCTTATTCCAATATTTTACTCCATGGAAGGGTGCAGTTTGGTTTTCAAAAACTTTTCCAATCCTAGAATAATTCTGAACCCGCTCCACTGTCACACTTGGATTCAGGGTTTCCAAACTACATGCCGTATATTTTCCACGTACGGAAAACCACACATTTCTCTACGGTAATAAAGGGGGACCATATGGGATTCATAAGATTTAACAGTGGATTTGAGCCATATTGCTAACCTTACAAGTGACATTGGTAAATGCAGTGTCATGACGATTTATAAACCGTCGTTTCACGGTATTTGAAAGTCCTACAATTAGAAACTCTTTTAAAACAGAATTATGTCCCTCTTTCGGGTTTAGCATTAGAAAAAGGCGTATTTTTCTACCGAATGAGTAAAATGAATATATTTATGCATGTTTTCCATAAAATATAATTGGACTTTTAGGGACGTCGAAAATCAATGAGAAAAATTTATGCTACTTAAGCAGTCTTTTTTTACAGAGTGTGCTTTTTGCATGCGACCGGAAGGAAGTTCATTCGAAAGCCGGCATCCTGAGGCAACTGAAACATTATAGAATTATGTTGCAGGCTGACTAATTTTACAAATCTACTTAGTTAATCTTATCGAAACGAAAACACATTTCAGAATTTCGGTTGACATTTCATGAGTTATCCCACCTACTATAAGACCAGGCAAAGTATATTTTATCATAAATACATCGAGAGGCCAAGAATACCAAGATTAATATTGATGCAAGCAAAGTACGTCATTCGGGTCTCTTGACAACGATCTCGCCGACCGTCCACTTACTGCCCTGACCCGATGAGCAGGTCTTTTGTCAAACTAACAGACATCAGTACTCGTCGCAGGATAGTATGAAGAGATAAATTCATTCACAAGGTTGCCGTAACGCAAAACACAATTTCAGATGTTAGCTGAGAGTATAGATATCACAAGAGTGCATTATTTTTAGAGTATTGTGCATTCCTTATTTATAAGTGAAGGCATGTCAAGGTAGTGGGATTTTTTTACCGAACCACGGCGTCCAGTGTTGGCGGTCTTCTTACACAAATACATGTATATGTTGTTGCTTTTTAATTTCCCCAAAAACTAACTGCAAACATGGACAAAGGAAATCAAGAAGGAACAATTTCTAAGTTGGAGTATCTATTAGAAGCAGACGGGGAATGCTGGTGGGCTCACTTATGAGCTGAACCCCTCACATGCAGCGGCAGAATATCGGCGAACCACGCCTGTGTGGGCTTTTGGCTGGTACCTGTGCTGTTATTATGAAATCCTCTTACCTTGAAGTATGTGTATATTTTTTTGAAAGATGAGCATTCAAAGAAGTTGTAGTCAGGCAAGTTCTTTGGGAAAATTAACAAATTTTATTTTGTAACTTCCCGACTTCGATTCCCCAGACCGTCTTCAAACGCAGAGTGAATGTACAAAAGAGTTAACATTTTAAACATTCATAAAAATTTATAAAATTAAATACGACTGTTTTGAGCATTGAAAAACTGACGTCGAAAAGTTAGGAAATAAAGTTTGTTGACATTCCCAAAGAGCTCGTTTGACTTTAAATTCATGGACCGAACTGTATTTTTACAAACACAGCTCAGTGAATAAATTCGCGCCTCTTCCCCTTTGTCGTTTCCAGGGATATAATGAACGAGATAAAATAATTAGACTTCGAATCTTCACATACATATACCATCTCCTACAAGCTTGGTTCGTGTGCGGTCTATAATCAGAATTACGCATTTTTGAGAGAAATGGAGTTGACAAATCTGCACTATTCTCAAGAACGAAAATGAATGAGTCCACTTTGCCGAAGAGCTCTGATCTAGGGCACTCATGGACGATCTCAAAGTGATAAATAATCACCTATCGAGAGGTATATCTTAAATCACAGTCAGCGTATGAACACCGTGCTTTCAGTAATTTTCCGCCACTAATATCCTAATTAGCAAATTTCGCTCGAAGCTTAAAATGGCCTATTACAGTACCTACGATCCCGCCTTCCTGACTTTCACTATTGATCGTCAAACTTTCTAAGATATATGACATGCTACAGGTCGATTCACATTCTGGTTGGAGTATACTTATGTCGAGCTGATGGTGCAGTTAGGATAGTACACAGACTATGTGCTTGGATGGCACAGTGAAACTGAGTTCGTTTAGTTTTGACACTTTTGAAAGACAAGCACTTTACATTCTGCACGTTTCTGCCATAGTTAATGCTCTCCATCACAACCGAAAGCACAGCGGGCCCGTGGCTCATTGGTAGGGGTTTGGACTCAGGAACCAATGACCAAATCCCAGGTATGGGTGGCTGATGACAGCCAGTAAGAGAGAAATGGCCATTCCGGTCTTCCTTCTTTTTGTCGGCACAGGATTAGCTGCCAATGTCACCAATCGCTATCCAACTGTCAACGAAGACTCTAGACTAAACCCCGAGACACAAGGGAATGAACACGCCCCGTAACCTGATTAATGAACTATCCTCTATCATTATTTTGTACTCCAGCACGTGGATGTAAAGGAGGCTTTTGCAATCCCAGGCGATGCGACCGGCTACGCAACACTTAGAGCACCCGAAAAGTACTGTTTTACCTATAAACAGACATGGATGGTGAAAAATAGTAAAGTTCTTACATGCTCAGAAAGAAGAATACATCTGGCAGCCGCTACGGCCCGCCAACTCCAGTTTTGTGTGTGTGGCTACAACTGTTACAGCGACAGGAAGTGACCAGAGGCAGGGGTACACGGTACCAACGACAGCGATCCAGAGGCCAGGCTTGGAGACAGATGTAGCGCAGAATGAGAGCAACAGTGCGTCCGGCCTCCACACAGTGCATTCCTGGCGGCCAAGAACAGGAGGTTCCGGCCACATCTACGCACCTACCCTCCCGCACCCAACGTGGCCAAAACTGGGGGCCATAGTCACGCCAGGTCCGCCATACCGGACAACTTGAGTACTCCTCCAGAAGGCGGACGCCCCGCCACCTAGTTCTTCGACGCTGCTTTCGCATCCTGGCTCGCAGACGGGAGGTGGCCGAGCTGGCATCATCGTCCAGGCGGGTCATTGTGAAAGTGTGTCGGGACTGGCGATGTGCAGCGCGAACCTGTCTGTTCCGGAGGCGTTGAAGGGCCCTCAACCGTCTCTTTATAATACGTCCCATATCCCCCAACTCATCTGCAGACGAAGAATTGCCTGCATTCAGGGATTCTCCTCCTCTTTGGTGCCAAGCAGACTGTGTCGTCATAGAAAATTCGAAGCTGCCCTGCGGATGGAGGACAACCTCCCATGGTTTGCTGTACGACATGATGTCCATGTTATAGGCCTCGGCACCACCAAGGAGCTGAAGCATTTCAGGCAGAGGATTTATAGCTCCGAGACTGAAGGGTCTCTCTTCCCCAAAATCAGGCAGTCGGAGCGCGGTCGGGTTGGTGCTCGTAGGTGAAAAGAAGCGCGGCAGAGTCGGCTTACGTATCCTGTCTCTCAGTTCCTCCTCTTCTTGCGACTGGGCGCTCTCCCGCAAGCGTCGCCAAACGTAACTTGAAAGCTCTGCGAAGGCGGGTTTCGAGAGGGTACGCGGGAACCTAATTGCAGCTTTTTGTCTCACTTCCTTCGTCTCCTTCGCCTCCTCCTCCTGTAGGCCATGAACGAAGTCTTGATCTCGTATGCAAAATGCAGTTTGCAGCAGGAGTAGAAGCAGTGATGTCGTTCTCCCAAATGCTACCATGCTGAGTCGCTGCCGAAACTGGAGCATATTTCGGTCATTGCTGTTGGCTGGGGTGCAGGGAAGGAGCTGGCTTTTGCGCAATGCATGCGATTACGTAATGCCACCGACGCACACACTGCCGACATGCTAATTGGCTCCGTCCTTCTGCCTTCCTGCAGACGATCTCTGCGACAAGCGCTGTCACTGACGCCCACGCTCATAGGTGGGAGCACATGGACTGGCCAGCGGTTGACATACTGTCTTGCGTCCCTGCGATCCGGATTACAGGCTGATCAACCAACCACGGGCGCTAGCGCATTGTCCCTATCGCAGGCAGAAGTCAATTGGATGAAAATGATGGTTGCTGTGGTCTGCCATCACTGTATTTCCAGAAATGCTGGGGAAAAAGTGAGTAACAGAAAACGGGGGCGAGATATCAGAAGGATTTCATGGTAGCGCTGGGGGGCGGGAGATGTAGCACTAATCATCCCACCATTGGCGGCAGGTCCAATCCTACAAAGTGGGCCAATTTCTGACGCTCCTGGTCGGAGAGCCTAGCGAGTGGGAAATCAGTTTGGCAAAATCAGGCCTTTAGGTTAAGGTAATACCATACTAACAGCAGGGGTACTAGCCAAAAGCCCATACACGCGTGTTTCGCCGATATTCTGCCGCGGCATAACGCAGCTGCGAGGGGTTCGGCTCGTCAGTGGGTCCCACAGCATTCCCCGTGTGTTTTCTGGTAGGTAGTCCAATTTAGAAATTGTCGCTTTTTTATTTCCTCATTAATTATCTACGAAGTTGGAGTAGATCAGTTTATTCAAGGTCTATAGGCTCAGATCAAGAATTTTATGTATGAATATTTGGTCTAAAGTCCATCAGCCACAACGGGTAACCGAGTATTATTCATTAACTGTCGACATACAGCTAGCAGTATACTTTAGGGTAAGGTGATGCCATACTAACAGCACAGAATATCGGCGAAACACGCGTGTAGTGTCTTTTGACTGGTACCCGTGCCAGTATACTACTGTCTGTCGACAGTTAATGAATAATACTCGGTTACCCGCTGTGGCGGGTGGACTTTGGCCCAGATATTAATACATAAAATTATCGGTCTGAGCCCATAGACCTTGAACAAACTGATCTACTCCAACTTCTTAGGTGACGTCTGAGGAAATTAAAAAGCGATAATCAGGTCTTTGTCACTCTTGTCTATTTGTGTTTGGATGAATCGCTTTTGGAACATTTCGTTCTGTGTGACGACATGTGAGTACTGCGAAAAAATTACTTGGTGACCCACCAGCATGAAATTTTCCTTCGGTTTTGTCCCTCGGCTATCAAGGTACTGGCACACTTAGTAAATCAGTCCCAGTGATATAATTTGGTTATTTTTTGAGAATGGACGCGGATGTGGGCACTTGATCACCAAAAGAGGCTTTAACTACAGAAGTTGCCTGGCAACAGAAATCTTTGTTTTCATGTAGGTGGTGGAACAACTTGTACGTTGAACTTTCTTCAGTATATGGGTTCCAAAAAGCTGGCTAAACTGATGGGGAATAGTGTGAGAGTTAGGCTTCAGATTGCCGAGGCGAGGTTGTTCAAGATGTTCCTGGTAGTCCCTCGGATTCAATGAAATCAGCTGTTAGGATTAATCATTTCCCACATGACCTGTGTCGTGTAGCAATCGATATCAAATTTGCAGGGCTGACTGGTCACAAATGTTATTCAATGAAAGATGGGAAGAGTTCCTACATGAGTATCCGATTACTTCAGCTGAAGTTCCACGCCTTTTAATGTAAGCTCCAGAAATCTTTTCATAGTTGGTCGTTTGGGTCACTGTGTGGGTACCAAAATGAGTCACAGATTTTACAGTGGTGGAAAATTATAATTCGCGACAAATCTAACCCTTTAATTCGACGGGTAGGGGAAGTTCTATTGGTGCTATGGGCACCAATGTGCCATCGCGTATGCGTTATTGTTCGCTGGGCGGAACGGTCGATTCTGGTTCAGTTCAGTTCAGTTCCGTTTTATTGAGGGAAATGTAGGTCTTCACCTTTGAACTCCCTATTTGTTTACAAGCAACTGCAAAATCTCAAAAACTGGAAAAGGTATCGTAAAGGTAACAAGTAAGCGGAAAAGCGTCAACTCTGTACAGATAAACAAACTGTCTCAAATGTTACTGGCACGAGCAGTTGTAGGGTAGTCGTTTCGAGTGCAGGGAAATAAATAATATACCCGGTGACAAAAATTGCAGACGTAAGTATCCCTTTTCCAGTGAACACGAGACTGGGGTGAGTATCGAAGTACAAAAATGTCCTAAAATAACAATTTGCAGCTGCTTTTTGGTGCATCATGATTTGGTACACGGGCCACGGATAACTCCATGCGTCAACCACCCTCTCGCGACCATGCTCACGTCTCTGCAATTGAGTCGGTAATTGCAATTTTAAGTGACGAAAAACAAACCTCACGTCTATTTGTGCGGAATGGCGGAGACGTTAACAGCCAAAACCCCATTTCATTGATTTTTATCGCGTACAAAGGCACACTTGCCTCTTAGCCCAATAAGTGGCTCTCCAGATAGTAGATGAAATCAACTGAAGACTTGCTACAAACTAGCTCTACTGACCTCAGTGCATCAGTATGACACCAGATGAAGTCGGACCGTTTGAAGTTGTCTTTTTATTTAATTTCTTACCCTAAGGACGCGGCAGGACAGCGCGCAGCTACCCGACGAACAAAAAGCCTGAGAAAACAGGGGGGCTCATTTGAACCTAGAGCCTTTACTGAATTCTTGGCCATCTTTCCGAATGTCTGTCCTGGTGTTTATTTTTAACCAAAGAATAACGCTAAGAAATTGCAAAGAGCTCCTCAAGTCGCCGTGATTGCTTTCATTTGCTTGAAACAAGTGCCATATCTCCTAAAAGTTAAATTCGCCTATGAGGTACATAGGTGCCACAATTGGTGTCATGAGTAAGCGTCCAATTACGAATATTAAGGGCACACCCAGTGTCGCTTCCTTTAAAATCCAGTTAGTAACCATGGGCAAGTATAAGGCAGGGTCGTAAGTCCGAACCTCCCAGTACCAAGGTGTGTGGATAAAGCCCCTGAGAATGCAGTCTCCTAGAATGCAGTTAACGCTACAAAAAAATGACGGTGATCGTTCCCTAGAACGAAAACGCGACGGCATCCGGACACTGCCTCGTCGAATTGCCATGAAACACTGTACAGAAGATGAGAAACGCAGCAAGTGCAGGCATTTTGAGAGCACCTCGCTTCCAAAGGCTACATTCACGGTTTCGTCAAGGGATTTTCCCACTGAAGACAAAAGGACACTAAAAGAGGTCCGGCAAACAAGTATGATACGCGTTCTACTTTTAGAATCTTTTCCGAAGTCACGGAAAGCATAGTACGAAAACACCATTATCCTTACAGATCGGTAGAAGGTAACAAACGGTCATTTGCTCATGAGATCGAGGATCGACTACTGCAGACACCTATTAGAGCGATTATATGCACCATATTAGCTATCCAAATCGCTTAGGTACTTATTGCAGTATGGTTGCCATACGGGTTGCTCGGGCGAATCTAACAGGGTAATTTCATACATTGCTAGGTCCATCCCCAGGAATGCTGTTAGGTGTCTTTGCAAGTAATTCGCTGCGCTGAAAGCAAAACAGACAGAGGGATAAATGAAACCAGGCAGTATAACGCGGAGTCGAGCTGTCCCCCCTCCCCTACGCGGCTATTCGGCACTACCTGAGAAACAAAAAACAAGCGCTGGGAGGAGAGCTCGAGACCACTTTTTCTAGGTTATTTAACTCCAGTGGTCCATTCAAGCGTCGGTGGAAAATGTCAGAGGAGTAGATTATTCTTCATAGAGAACTTGCAGTCCCCCCTACGTGTATTTATCACTTTTGAGGCCCAGAATCTGCGCTTAATTCTAACAACAGGGGCAAAGACCCAGAAGTAAATTGGCGCGCCGTAAAACACACCTAAATGGAGAGCGGTGTAGGCGGCGTGCCAGCCATATCTGCAGCAATATATTAGCGCAGTCCGAATTCTCGTTCCCCGCGACAGGTCGTCTTTTCGTAAGCGAGAAAGTGCGCGCGCGGGATAGACGGTCGAACAACCGCTGCGGTGGTTATCGAGTGCCGTTATCCGCGACGGTGGTGCTGCCTCCGTTGTTGCCATGACGCGTCGTAGAGGTGTGAAGATGTCCCATGCTTTCACACCTCAGGGCAAAGGTGGTGGCCCGCCGACCGCGCCGTGCGGGCGGTAACTACGACAGCTGCGTCTTTGGGGGGAAGAAGGCAGTGGGGGGTGGCGGAGTGGTACGACGGGGTTGAAGGACTGCTGCGCGTGGACGGCCCCGCTTCCTGGGTGGTGTAAATGCGGGTGGGGTGGGCCCGTGACCGCGAGACGGTCGCTTGTGTGGCCGCGGCGCATGCCGCGAGAGAAGGGACCAGTTGCTGCAGTTTATGCACCAGGTGTGCTTCAGGGGCCCAATTGCGGCAAACGCCAACTGCATCCGCTCTGCGAATGTCTACATCAAAGGTTTGAACACACGCTCACATCCACGCCCAAAAGGAGCTGCAAACGAGAATATTCAGGCGAAATAAGGCGCGGTTGTTCATTAATTTGTCGTTTATTCGCGGAAGAAGAAAAAATAAAGTGGAGAAGCTGACAATGGTGCCGCTGGTGATTCTGCCGCTGATGCCGGCGACGATGATGACGACGACTATGATGATGATGATGATGATGATGATGATGATGAGGAGGAGGAGGAGGAGGAGGAGGAGGAGGTGGTGGTGGTGGTGGTGGAGGGTGATTGGAAGGAGGAAGGATGCGAGGAGGAGAAGACGGTGGCGACGGTGGTGGTTAAGTAACCAGCATTCAGGAGATTTGCGTAAGAAAAGCACCACGGTAGCGGGTGAATCCGTGCGCTCAGGCAAGAAGCACTCTGGCTTTAATTTCATCACTGTAAAACCGGCGTTTAGAAAGAATAGGCAAGTCTTGGCCCTGTCCGGTGATTGTGTGATTCTTCATGACACCATCCTCATAAACTTGACGACGTAGATGAGGTCTGGATAAATGTTACCTGTTCAGCAGTCTGCAAGTTCCTGCTCCATGCAGGCGTCCTAAGTCGGGTTTACTTAGCATTCAGGTTGGCAAAGTTGAGAGATCCAGGCCGATGATTGGAAGAAAAAAAAGGGGCTCACCGGAACGGGTTTATTTAGATATGACGTTTCGAAGAGCTTGGTCGGCTCTCCATTGTCAAGACGTAAAATGCACTTAATCGACCAGGAACTGAAGTGGCATGTCGTGTTGTTCGGCCTCGTGTTGATCGATTTTTCTCGCCTCTCGCTGCCCCGACCTCTCGGAAGATGGTTGGCGGGCGTTTTATTTGTCCGTTTTGTGAGTCGACGCTTCGTCCGGGGCAGGTGATGGAACCTATGGCGTGACGCACGTTGCTTGTCCATTTCTTACGCTGGAAGCCCCTCTCAGAATATTCTCGAATATGTGGGCCGCACTTGTGAGCAAGGACTTGACGCGCACGCTGATTGGCTGGCTGGTTTCACGCGTGTTTTCCTCAGCCGGCCTGGCCTGCTGCGACGCGCTTGGTCATGTGTTCGTTTCGCTTTGGATCGCGGTTCTATTGTGGGTCCCGTCTCCGTAATACTGCAGGTATGAGTAACCGGTGCTTGTAGTTTAAGCTTCTGGGACCACAGTTGAAACAGGTCTTGGATTGCCAGTCATCGTCGAAATAGGTCCTCCTCTCAGAACGTCAAATGGATGAAAGTGTTGCTGTTCCCTTCGTCGTCCCGATGATCCAAAAGAAAACGCGTTTTCATACATGCACGGCTACGTTTATAGAGATAACCCCAGCAAAATATGACGACCCAACGAAATGCCTCTAGTGGCTTGTATCCGAGTACTGTCGTTAACCTTTTGCTGTTAGATCGTTACTGAGGAGGTTTTACGTAGTATGGAGGTTTTCATTTGGACAGCATTCTTTCTCATTTGGGGTTGGTGCTTAATGGATCTGCTGGCACGAAGAAGTACGCTTCTGTTTTGCCATGGGGCTCCTCTAGAACCATCGCTTCAAGGCAAAACACGGAGATCACCTTTTCAGTATGTTTCAATGTTAGACAACGTTTAAAAAGCATCGACAAGGCTGGCTTTCGATCCGGACAGACTAATCGGCGAATCAACGCTCTGTCCATTACTCCACGGAGTTTCCTTCCACGTAGTTGAATTGCTGGAATCCCATCTTCAACTTTCCTTGTATTTCCCGTCCCCACGTGCTGCCCATGTTTCGGAATAGATGTGTGGCATTCACTCCAGCATCTCCCTGATCTTCGCCGATGTTCCACGCACTTAGGCTGCCTCGAATTTGCATGAGGCAACAAAGGAGCTGAATGAGCTGGCGAGTTGGTTCGTCCATCGTGTGGCAGACTTTCGAAGCCTTGACCATACTTCACCCTTTCCACGCCCACCGCGACTGGATACCGGTGAATGTCAAGCAGCAACACTTCTGACTTTAATGACGACTCCCTCCATCTGGCAGAATTGAGAGTGTCAAAAACAACCGCATCAAGAAGGAGCCACTGCCACTTGACTATCAATCAGGAGTAGGGCTGAGGTCTCCTGTCGGTTGGTAAACATTCGGGGTAAGACAAACTAAGGGCGTACTTGGCTGCTTATAGCAAAGAATCTGAGAGCTTCGTCCGAGTTAAATCAGCCTTACTTTCTACTCCCGATCCCTAGTATCAAAGGCATGTTCAAAGTACAAGCAGCAAGGAATGGAACAGGACACAGTCACTAATATGAAAAGCAGTCGTCGTTTAATGCACGCCACACGTAGGGTGGATCGTTGAGATCACATTTAAAAGGGGCCATTTTGGTCCGACACTCATTTCAAATGAGAGGGAAATTAGCTTGCCACCCGGAAACCATCTTGACTGCCACGTTGTACGTCAGATTGCTATAGTGGTAAATTAGCTGGATTGCCACGAGTATAACTATTGTAGCATCGACCCCCCTCTCTCTCAATTCTATCTTTCATATATAAGTGACTAAACTAAGCCTTTCATTGCACTGACCATGTAATTAAGCGTAAAAACTTACGAGGCGTAAAGCCCCGGCCAATGCGTTTCACATGCCCTTACTCCACTAGTTAAGAACTCACACAGCTTCAGTATGCCCCGTCAAAATGCATACTATCGGTCAGTGGAACCCCGTTCTGAGAACAAATTGGCGTTTCTGTGTCAAAATACTTCACTTCTAGGACCAACGTCTGCTAATTTGTCAGTAATAATAGTAATATTTTATTTAAGACCCGTCGGGGTCCAATCAAAGCCGAGACCAAATTCCTCATGACCAGAACATGTGCACAAGCCTGGTCAGCGAAGCGCTGCAAGACTTGACGAATATTCTTGCGTTTCGAGATTTCGGATTCTGACTAGTGATTAAAAACCGCCGAACTAACTAGCTCTTCATCATACGGACAATAGGATATGTGCATATTGTAAAACACATGCTACGCATTGCGACCATTTAGAATATGGAAGACTAGTAGCATGAAACATGTTCGTTCGACCGTCGTTGCCGACGATGTTCACTGTGTGCTCCACGGCAAGGTGAAGCAGGCACGGTGACTTGTGCGTGACATAGTTTATGGTTAAAATAGACTTGCGCTGCATTTACTGCACTCTCTCCTCCCCCCACCTGGACCCGGTGTCAAGGCAGAGTCAAGAAGGCCGGAGAGGGGGGAGGGCGCAGGTGGGTGGCGCGACCATGCATACACCTCGGCGCTCCACTCCCCACCCCCTGGTCCACACAGCAAATGACCAAGATTTTAACCGGCAATAAAAAGGGGACTGGCGCGACCGGAGCCAAACCTGGACGTACAGCCACACCTGGTCCCGATCCCACGGAGTGTGAGGGCCATAAAGGCCACATTAAGAAGGAGCCTGACTCTCAGACCGCCAGCCGGTCGCTCCACACAAACGCACAACACTGGGCCGACTGCGAGGTCCAAGTTATCCCGTCAGTTGGCAATCTTCCAAGCCACGGCTTTTAATGCAGCGTGATAGCTTCAAGCGAGTCAGATTGTTTATAATGAGATAAGTACGCTGAGTCGTCGACCTCACTCTCCCTTCTTATTCCCAGGCCCCGGTCACTCTCCGAGCCGGCAAGTTGACAGGTGCAGGGAATGGGCGAGGTGGCTGACATATCTAGTCACCTTGCCTGCGCA